CATGCTCTTGAGGAGGAACTGGAGGTCCATGTCTTGGCCGGTTCAACGCTCGACTTGCACGATCGACCAACAACGTTGCTTGCGATGGATCCGGCAACAACGGTGGAGGAGAGGAAGTCGGGGAACTAGCTTGCGACTGTCGGGGGACATACGTCCAAACACCATGCTCCGTCTCATGCTTTTGCGACTGAACAATGTTGTAGTAGTCACTGCTCCGACATCTAGCACATTTCCAACCTTCGCCAGTCCATGTAAAAGTGTCGTTGTCACACGACCAACATCGCCAAGAGGGATCAGTCTCTGAACCTGCATCCTCGGGCGGAGGGGCAACGTCACTCATGGAAAGAGCCGGGGCACTCAGATCATCAAAATCGAACATCGATCAACGATCCTGCAACCACAGGCTCCGGTGCCAACTAGAGCACCCACTTGCTGGTGGAATGTGGGGTCTATACGAGTGAAGATCGACCAAATGCAAACATGGCGACCTTTTGCGGTGACGCGCGCAAGCGCGGTTGGCTCTTGCCCTTATGGCGTCAAGGTGGAAACAGCTTAGACCTGATGGTTCAATGGTGTCATGCTTCCATGCCATGCTAAATTCACACTTTGAAACACATCACGCCATCGAACCCTGCAACGCATATGCACCTAAATCATCCTAAATCATCCTGTTTTGCGGTCCGCCCTCTCTGGGGGAAGTGGTCAAGCCCCCTTCTTCTCGTCCAAGGGGCCCATCCTGATCAGAGTCAGCAGCCTTAAACATCGCTTCCACCTTCTCCTTCTTGATGTTGAGCGCCTGAAAGACCTCGCAGGTCGAAGACGTGTTCTTTTCGGGGACGGAAATGGCTTGCTAGCTGCGGAATGCTGCGGGGAGAAAAAAAGGAACCACTATATATATATAGATACTATGACCAAGGGGATTGTATGGTTCAGCCGCCTGCTTGACCATAGTTTCAACCTTTGGATGAAATCATCAGCTGCTGACCCCAACCTCCTGAGCAAGTCTCACCCTGCGGCTGGCCCAAAACATCTAGGCACCATGCTCTCAATGGTCAATCAGCCTCTTGAATTGTTGTCTCATTGGCCGTTCTGAACCATTACATGTTGTCCACAGCCCATGGACGTCCTCAGTTAGGTACTCAGCCATCGTTCAGGGTCCAAAGTCCAAATACACTCGAACGATGTAGAGTCCTAGAGGATCACTGAGACCATCCTGACACCCATCTTTCTGAAGTGTCCAATTAGCTGTGAAGCTCCTGGGTCCTAAAAAGTGAAGCTCCTGGGTCCCAGAGACGCATCCGAGGCGAAAATCCTGCCTTCGCCATCTCCTCTTCGCTCAACGTGCCATCACCCGAGGTATCATACTTCTCAAAGAGCTCTTGCAATCGTTGCCGCGCCGCCATGGCACCGAGAACCGCCTTCTCACCGTCGACCTTGAACCGCCTTGAACCGCAACGTCGCGCATCGGACAGCTACGCGGTCACTCCGGCGGGATCAGGACGGGCAAAAACCACTTGCGAGTCCAAAGCCGACCCAATCCATCCCAATCCCAGGCCTCAAGCTTCGAAGCACTAGGCCATTAAACCATACTAACCCAAGAAGTTGCACAATAGGCTTCACCCCCATCTAGAATCAAATGAATAAGTCACAGGTCATCACAGGTCATAGGTGATTCAAGTCGAACACACCTTCTTTTTGTTCCACACTCCATCTCTATTCATACTATCGTTCAAACTTCAAACTCCCAAGGCTTCGACTCATTGAGATCCAATGGCCTGGCTGAAACAAGCTCCAAAGGCTCAGCGTCCAACCTCAGTGGAAAACCACTCGAGCTCGGCCATGCCGGCGGAGCTCAACCCGTCTCTGCGGAGGATCTCTTCGACCGATCCTCCGACCGATCACCGTGGCGATTCGGCGATTTCACGGTCGCCCAAGGTCGTCGCCTCTGAAAGAATTATTTGAGTCTCCCTAGTAACAAGAACGCTACTATTTACTATTGTCTTTTTCTTTTTCTTTTAAATTTTCTCCTCGGGGGGCCTCCCATTGGCCCATGTGTTTTTGGGAGGAGGAGTGATTGCATGATGAAGCAGTCAATCTCCAAGCCACTCCTGAAGATCCCGGGTGATGCGCCGCAGTGCGGCCGCATGGCGTGATGCTCTGACGCTAGAAGAGCTCATCGTGAGAGTATCAGAGGTCTTTCCCAACTGAGGCTTCGCAGGCTGCGGAATCGCAGGCTGCGGAATCCTGCTGGACGTGCTGAATGCTTTGCGTCGGCTCAGTTGGACCCCCCCCGACCAGTCAAGGTAAAAAAACAAGTACAGTATATAGAGGTATATGGACAAAGGCCAGTGGCTGAGCCAACGGGCCAACAGAAAAGAACTGCCAAGTCCATGGGTTTGTTGTGTTGGCTCAGTGGCATCCAAACCCAGGTCAATCCAGGAAAGTGGCTCAGATTCGGGTCTAGGCGGCCTTCATTAGGCCCAGCAAAGAATGTCTCACTGCTGTGTTAAACACGAATCATATAACAGCGACTCGATGCATTTTCAAGGACATCCCTTGCTGTAGATAAGCTCAAGCAGCTTCTTGCAATGTGGACATCATCTAGAGAGCACTGTATGCTACGCACCTTCCATCTTCCAACAAAACGGATTCTTCCAATCTTTCCATCCAGCCAGCACTCGTGCATGATAGCCCGTGGCATCCGTTTTTCACTCGGCCATGCAGCACATGGTTCTGCCTGACAGTGAAACCATCGGCCTGCCGGCTGCCTTGAGCACCGGCATGCCAGCGAACGAAGGGAGAGCCACATGAAAAAGTCCAAATAACAAACTCCTTGGTAACAGCACTTGATTCTTTTGGTTGGGAGTAGTTGGTTGGTGGGATTTTTGGTTAGGAGTTCTACTGATTCTTACCCTGTAGAAGGCCATTACCCTGACCCACGGCGAATCAACCTCGAAAACGTCCAGGATACGAAGCCTTTGTACCTCCCATCCTTCAGATGTCACTCGTTGTGGAGATTCCTGGCAAGGCACACACACGTACAAGCACCCACATCGTCGATGAAACAGTTTGGAAGGGGCTTGTACTTGATGAAGGGGCTTTGACTTTAAGGAAAGGTTGCACCTGTATGAGGTCTTCCGTATGTGCACCCATTCTGCAGCACAGCCCATTCTCCAACACATTTGCCAACTGAAGCACTGGTTTCTTGTTCAAGCAGCTCTGCAACATGCAGAGCTGTGTCAATGAAGTCAGAACCTATCTGCTACCTCATGGCCTCAATGGCCATATGGCCCAATTCCCTCCTGCCACCACGTTCTGGATCTTTGCTCACCTGTACGGTGCAGCCCATGTGCAACCCATGTGCGTTTACACATGTTCCGCGATTTCCCTGAACTTCAGGTGTTTCATGGGCTGCTTTTGCTTGTGCAAAGGCACTGAGGTCCTGGCAAAGTCCACCAACGTGTCAATGCCGATGGCCTGAGCGACGAAGAGAGCCTTCAAGGGAGAGAATTGGTGTCTTTTTTCTTTCTCTCTAAGGTCACAGTCCTTGTTCATAGAATGAAGCACGGGGGGGGTGCCTTGTTGGAACATGTTGGAACGTTGTAAGTTGCATCATGTTTCAATCTCTGTTCATCGTGAAGATCCGAGCTTCCAGCTCCGAGGGCTTCTTTGTCCAGCATGGTGCACAGCCTCAAGATCGGAACATGAGCAAGCATGAGTTAAATCCACTACTTGGTCTGACAAACCTAACATGCATCACAGTAACATGCCATTATTTTGCACCTTTTTCATCATGTGTTGTCTTCGCCATGTCCATATATATGCCCATCACCTCACTCGAAGGTCAAACGGCTCCTTGCTCGAATCTCTTCAGTTCCCCTTCACGTACAAGTCTTGAGAGGAGCTCTGAAACTGCGGGGCCTGCTCTGGATTTCCGATATTCTTGAACCAAATGCACTTGTTGTCCTTGTTGACGACAAATGCCTTATAGTTCATTGCATCAGCGTACGTCTTCATGGACTCAATGAACTGAGGATCAAAGGATCCATGATGAGCTGGCTGTTTTTTCACCCAAAACTATGAGTTTGCGATGGTTTTCCGACAATCTTGAGGGCGTCGTGGTAAGGCAAGTCTGTCTGGGCCTTCATCCGCCAAGCCATGGGTTCAGGCAAACGATTTGATCAACTCAAAACTTACTGCTGAAGCGGAAAAGCTGCCACTCTGCAATTGAGAAAGACCGGACATCATGCTGGTTCACACACAGTTGATGCTCTGAGGTCTGTCTTCGGCCCCCTCTGCCCGAGACAACAAACAACAAACTAGGTATGAACCCAACATTCCAATATCCAACATCCTCCAACATCTATGACTCTATGACTTCAAAACGCGATTGCCATGCTCCAACACCCCCTCCCACCAGAAAAGGCCCTGCTTGAATGGCCAAATCCCCGGAGAAACGGATCCACTGGGCTCCCAACTTGGCAATCTGTGCATCTGAGATCACCGACGGGGCGATCCTTCGGATGAGTTGGAGCTTGCTAAGCGCCAAGCGGTCTTCGGTCGAAGTCGACCCCTGAGCTTGGACATCAGTACTGAGCAAAGTTGAATGGGTACGATATGGTACCATTCATCTGAATCATGATGACCTATCTCAACTCATAACTCACCATACTGTCTATAAACATCTAGATCTATACCATCAACCGAGATTGCTCACAACACACCTTCCGGTTGCTCGACGCACTGTCCATGTCCAAACCGGGTGACACATCGCTCGTCCTCATGGCTCGTCGAATCACTTGGCGAAGCTGTTCTTCCTGCGACAGCGACGCGAGCGCTGACGGCTCCGGTCGCGACGGCTCGTGCTCAAGGGATTCGTGGGCTTAATCTATCCCACCGACGGAACGGATTCACACCAGCACCTGGGAGGTTTTTGTCTGAAGGGCTCACATGTTTTTTTGGAGGATGAAGTTCTATGCGCGAATCTCGGGGCTGACCTGTTTTCTTTTTCTCTCGATCGGGTCCAATTGTCAGAAAAACACTGATATCATCTGATATCCATCTGCTTGTGGTCAAGACATCTCAAAACTCATTGTAACTCATGACACGACAAGACTCCGTCGGATGTGCCTCCAGAACTCCAGTGCCCGTGTGATCGAATCGTGAGAAGAGTGCCTCCGCCAGAAAGGCAGTTGCATGCAGTTGCAATAGCAATGCCCAAGAACACTAGAAAAACCTTCTGGTAAACTAATGGCACGTGCTCATCGACTTGGCAAAAGAAACGCACTCAACCCTGGCCGGACGTTCATTGCATCTTGACATGACAAATCTAGACCTGCCCTGCAGCGCTTCGTTCCCTGTGGGACAGGACTTCAAAATGCCACCGAGGAGGGCCCGTGGTCATCGGTCACCTTCAGATCGCAACCCAAGTGACCAGCGTAGGAGGCCGCCTGGTCAGGTGCGGTCGAAGGACGGAGGAAGAACGACGGTGTTCAAAGGGTCCTATTTTTTTTCATGATCTACCAAGTCAGTGCCCAGGAGGGTTACGGCCTACGGTTACGTTCAATTTGGGCACTGGACAACGGCACGAGGAGGAGGTGAACGTGATTCCGGACTTGCACCCGAAAGGGGTAAGTGCAAAGGCGGTCCGCTTTCCGCTTTTCCTGCACGAAGCCGCCTTCATCTTGGATCGAAGCGTGCTCAAGAGCCCCTTGCTTAATGGTGGCCTTGGATGCGAAGCAACCGATCTTTGAGCGACCGGGGGCATGCAACGCACGCCCCAAAAGGGCAAACGAAAGAACACGGACAGCTCTGGCCGCTCCAAAACCTCGCTGAGGTTCACACGCTTTGCTGCGGGTTTGCGTTGCTTGGCTTCGTCTTGGGGTTACCTGTGCTTCGTCGGAGAGAGTGACTGTTTGGGTCTCTTGGAGCGCCTCCAGGTAAACCCAAGTGATCCTAACAATCCAACCATCCAACCTTATCAAAAAGCTGTGCTACGGACCTACTTGATGGTGGTTCCATGTTTTTCCAATATGGAGTCCCATATGTTCAGCCGTTCAGCTGCCAAGTCATCCTGCAGCCAAGAGGCAAAACAATCAAGCTCGAAGGACCGGTTGGAGGCCTCCCACCAGTTGGTCCCGGCAAAAGGGGGGATGCCAACGGTGAAGCGTCTAGGACAGCCTGGGGCCAGTGGTCCCCAAATAGAGTGGCATGAGACTATACCAAGACATTTTCTACGTGAGTGATCTACGAACTTCTATCTATTAGGGGGTTCTACAAAGAATTGCTGGGTCATTCGATGTCATTCGACATCTTGGTCTGGTGCTTCGCGCAAAAGCTGTAGTAGCAATGGAAGAAACAGCGAAAGACACGCAGCTTGTAGCGTCGCAATCTGCTGATCTGTCGAAAAGCACGTCCTCAAAAACACCTTGACCGACCTCCTCATCCAGCTTCCAACTCGCATGCCCATTGCACCCCTCGACTCATAGAGCCCACCACAACGGTGGCTGGCCCTGCTTCAGCCGCGACAAACGCGGTACCTGCCTGACCCTCCAGTTCGACCGTGCTCTTCAAACGAGGAGGCTCGATCTGTGGCTCCACACCTTCCGGTGGCTTCCCCCCCTCTTGAAAAGGCACCGCAGCTGTTTCACACACATCCGGAACACTATATATATATAAATACATCCGTCCATGCGTCCATGGAGGATGACCTGTCTCTACAAAGAGTTCTTGGATGTTCCGAATCCGAACCTGCCCCGCGACGCTGAGCTCGCAGAGCTCGCAGAGCGACCGGTCCCTGGGTCTTCCGAACTCAGAAAAGCCACGAGATCATCGATCTCTACGAGGCCAGAGCCATCGATGTCCAACCTGAGAACAAGCGAAGCCGGAGCCGTGATGTTCTGTGGCTGGGATTAATCAATCTGGAATATCCTCAAGGAGTGGGCAAACATGACCTTGGCAATGAGCTTCACATTCTAAAATGTCATCAACATGTCCATGTTGTACACTCTGGCCCGTTGGAAGACCAAGAGGGGCTTTTCCACTTCCATGTTAGTGAGTAGGAGTGTGTGCCAGTGTCTTTCCTGGCCTCACCAGTCTGCTAGAGTTGATGGCCGCTTTTCCATCCAACCACGCACAACCATCCAACCGCCGGTCCTGTCATCTAAGTCAACCAAAATGATCGTCATGGCCCGGACTAAAAAATAGAACAAACATCGCCATTCCTGCATCAAAGTTGGCAGCTCCAACTTCCCTCAGCAGCCGCACAACTTCCCAGTGGCCGTTCTGTGCTGCAACCCTCAAAGCTGTTAACCCCTTTTTGTTTGCTGCATCTTTGTCAGCCCCGGCCTCCAGCAACAATCGCACGACTTCCAAGTGTCCGATTTGTGCCGCAAGCAACAAAGCAGTTGACCCATGAGTGTTTGCTGCATCTTTGTCAGCTCCAGCAGCAACCAACTCAAGTGGCCCTATCGATACTAGCTCCAGCATCGACCAACAACCGCACGACTTCCGACTGGCCATTCTCAGCTGCAAGCAACAAGCAAGATGACCCATTGTGATTTGCTGCATCTATGTCACCTCCCGCCTCAAGCACCAAGCGCACAACTTCCCAATGGCCGCTCCGGGCTGCAGGCAACAAAAAAACTGCTCCATGTCTGACGTCAGCGCCAGCCTCGAGCGCACGACTGCCCAGTCGCTTTTCTCAGCTGCAATCATCAAAGCCGTTAACCGTAACCGTAACCTGCTGTTAAAGACCGTCGCATCTTTGTCAGCTCCAGCATCGAGTAGCAATCGTACAACTTCAAAGTCGCCGTTCTGCACTGCAAGCAACAAAGCAGTTGACTCCTTTGTGGTTGCTGCATCTTTGTCAGCTCCAGCCTCGAGCAACAATCGCACGACTTTCAAGTGACTGTTATGCGCTGCTAGCAACAAAGCAGTTGCCCTCTCTGTGTTTGATGCATCTTTGTCAGCACCAGCCTCGAGCAACAAGCGCACAACTACCAAGTGGCTTTTCTGGGCTGCAAGCAACCAAGCAGTTTCTCCGTGTGCGCTTGTTGCATTTTTGATCATTTTTGTCAGCTCCAGCCTCGAGCAACAATCGCACGACTTCCGACTGGCCATTGTCAGCTGCAAGCAACAAGCAAGATGACCCATTGGGATTTGCTGCATCTATGTGACCTCCAGCCTCAAGCAGCAAGCGCACAACTTCCCAATGGCTGCTCCGGGCTGCAAGCAACCAAGCAGTTTCTCCGTGTGCTCTTGTTGCATTTTTGTCAGCTCCAGCCTCGAGCAACAATCGCACGACTTGCAAGGGGGCCACACTCAGCTGCAACAAGTAGACCTTCCACATTTAATTTGGGTTCTGCGGTTGTTGAAGCAGGCTTTCAACCCACGGGACATTATTAGACCGGCAGCTGTCAAGTAGTTCTTTCTCTGCACTCTCATCAAAGGCACAATAGGCCAAGACTACCAGCTGTATACTCGGTAGTGGCCTTAAAGGCATATCATCCTGCAGTTCACCAATTTCATCACTGAAGAGTCTCTGCTGAAACCTTGAGCATCCAACCTGAGCTGACAGGAGTTTTTTTAGATCCCGAATGGATTTCCCATTGTCCACCATGCAACGGATTTCATCCTCACCAAGCTGGGCAACTGTTTCGCCGCACAAAGCCGTGACCTGCATCATTGAGATGAAACGAAGCAAAGCAAGAGGTGCCGGCTTGAGCCATGGTCAGACTCAAGACTGCAAACACAGGGATGCAGGAAGACGCACAGCTTTCATCGGATTCCCCGCCATGCGCAAAGTGAGATGATCTGCTGGTCACTGAGGGTGCCCTCCGGAATCCTGGCAGCGACAAATTGGAATGTCATGATTCATCATCTTCTGAGGCACAAATGACCCACGTCATGTGAGGTGCAGCCCGAAACTTCTGGATGCTTACCACTTGGCTACTTGGGGGGGCCTTGTCCGAATTGAATCCAACCTGCGCACATTTCCGTCATTCAGAGTCATTCACTGGCATTGACCTTTCGCAGTGCAACACTGCTACTTTTTAACTCTCGAAAGGAAGCGGTTCAAAAGAAACCGCCCAGCTGTGACAGTGCCCGCCTTAAGCTCCTCCTCAGAGCACGGCGCACCTCCCGTGCCGTTAAGGAGCCCGAACCATCCTGGCCGAGGTCAAGCTCTGGCGAAGCTAGGTGGATCTGATGGCCCAGCATCAAGACCAAGAGTAGATGGCCCAAACCCCTTAGATGGGGTCCAAATAAACCACCAAACTTGGGGATCGTGCCATCCACTCTCAATCCACTATATCAAGTGCACCGAGAATTTCACTTGCAATTCGATCCGCACTCCACACCCGAGTCGCTTCGCTGCACAGGAGATGTCTTCGGACAACTATGCTAGAATTCTGGAGAAAGGGCAGGAAGGGCAAATAGGGGCAGTGAGGGCAGTGGTGAATTTGGACATCCCAAATCTGGTGGGTAGATGAGCCATGTAAGACATCGTCCCTTTGATCTTGGATGGCTTCCAGAAGTCCCTAACTAGATCCTTCCTATCCAAACCAGAAAGTGCACCGGCCTGGTCGAAGCGATTGAACATCACATCGAAGCCATGTCCTTGAGGTCCTGACCCCCCCCCCAAAAAAAAACGGAAGAAGTGATCAAAAACGACTGGAAAAAACGACGGATCATGGATCCCACCACGGACGACGGAAGAGACGCGATGTGACGCGATGTACGGCTTACCACTTGGAGGTTACCCTAGGGCCCTAGGGAAGAAACACAAGCAGGATACTAAAGGCTCGGGGTCCTTCGTAGGCTGCTGTTTTGATCTTCGTTCGGATCCTTGGTCAGGAATTGCCAGCGGGGTGGAGGTCTGACCTGGGGAATCATGCCAAAATACTTCTAGATCTTATATAGTGATGGTCCCCAAATAGATAGAAACACCGTTTCCAATACATTCGGGGATCTACTTTTCTATCATTTTCTATCTATTTGGGGGTCTGATGGGGTCTGTATACTCACGACATGGTATTTTGTGCATCAGCGTGACAGTGTGGCATCAAATTCGCTTTGAATTCCACATTTTGTGATCCTTTGTACCAAGGTGCGTATTCAGCATACGGTTGGACAATCGCACAGGCGTAGGAACCTTGGACATCGTGACATATCGTGACTTCGTCTTGCGGGTCAAGGTGACATCGAATGGGTCCGACGTGTCATCGCAAACTGCTGATCGACCACTCTGGCCCCGCGCCACAAACAAGGAATCGTTCGCTTTTGACACTTGTGCTCTCGGGGTATCCTGCAAGTGCACAAAGACCATGAATGGAATTGAAAACAAAAGGCTACTAGTAACTAGTAACAAGAAGCTACTAAGGTTGGAGGCCATCGCTCTTTGGTTGGAGGCCATCGCAGTCGCTACATGTCGCTACTAGTAACAAGTGCATTACTACATATTACTAGTAATTATCACTCGCAGCGGACGCTCCCCGTGAAACGGTGTCCGCCTTGTGCAAGACATAACAAAAAATGCATTTGAACAATCATCATGCTGAAAGCATCTGAAAGCCCCGGAAAGCCGTGGCAAACACAAGCAACCATGGCACTCGTACCACTCGACCAAGTCCGAGTCGGCTCCTACCGTTCCGCTCCTTGGCACCGGCTTTCAGCTTCGCACACTGCCTCGTTCCGGTGGGCAACGTGCGCAATAGAAAGTGCCTGGATTGGCCAGGAGCTGCTGGACCTGCCTGAAGTTCGTCTCACTGTTCTTCTCATCTCGTCTCCGAAGTTCTACAAATGAACAAGTTTTTCCCCCCAGATGAATGCAATGCCACATCAACTCCAGGGCGGCATTCCGGGCCGACAGATGGCGGCTATTCATACGGGTTTTGCATTGTCCTTGGGGTATTAAGATCGATAAATCTAAGTGCTTTGATCGGATCATTCCTAACTACGCAGGTGCACTCATGTTGGCTTTTGGCATACCCAGGTGCATTGTTTCCATCTTTATGAAACTTTACGGCCAGCTCCAAAAGCACCTGACATTTAAGTCCTGGTTTGCTGCAACCCCTACCCATGGTCCGAACGGGGTCGCACAGGGGTGTTCGCTTTCACTCATTGCGATTAATGTGCACATGAAAGCCTGGGTTCACTTCGTGCAGTCGCTTCCAGAGGTCTGCGCCCAGGCGTATATTGACGATGCTTATTTATGGACCAGACTCGTGCATGTTAGTCAGCTTGAAAAGGCGATGCAACTCACCCAGGTTTGGGATGAATTGGTTGGTCAATGTCTCAACTGGTCCAAATGCTCTGTCTGGGGGTCATCGACCTGTGCCCGGAAAACAATCAAACGATTGTTCCCCCAAATGCAGTTTGTTCTTGATCTTGAGATTCTAGGTGCCTTTGTGCCTACCAGCCGCAAAGTTTCATCGCACTTTGGGGAACAGAAGCTTGCCAAGGTCTTGGCAGACATTCGTAATATCGGTGCTTTGCCTGTTGCAACCACTGTCAAGGCCAAACTAATTGGTTCTAAAGTTGTCCCCCAGTGTAACTACTGTCCAAGCCTTAATTGTATGACACAGAAAATGCTCAGCCGGATACAGGGAGAGATTGCTAGTGTGCTTTGGGGACACCGGCCCCACTGGCGCTCCAAGTGGCTCGTCTTTGCACTGTTGACGCAAACACATAGAATTGAGCCGGTTTGTGCGCGCCACTACAATACAATTGTTGACACAAGGCGCTACCTCCACCAATTCCCACACGAGGTGCATCGGTTTTGTGATTTGTTGGCTACCAATGCAGAGCAGAATGGTACAATTACACATGCCTGTGTAGTCGCCTTTCGTTTCTTTGGTTTGGAATTGAGTGCGGATGGCATCATCCGGTATCGACAACGTGCCATTTGTCATTTTCTTGACCTAGGACATAAAGAGATCCGACCCATTCTCAAATTGCTCGCTAAGCAGTCTTGCTATGTTCAAGCAACCATGCAACACAGGAAAGACGTTGTTGCACCAGGTGGGGTCCTGCACCCATTTTTGTCCACATGCTTCTTGCGCAAGTCAAAACTTTGTCTAGAGTCCGATGTCCCTCCCAAGGCTTTCTTTGAAGCACAGCTTGTGGGGTGTTTGCTGACCAATGACAGGCTTGCTGCTGCGCACAAGGTTGAGAGTCCGCAGTGCCGCTTTTGCCAAGCCTCCAAAGAATGTCTTGCTCATTTGGTTAGGGAGTGCCCGCACATTCTCACTGAGTCGCCACCGCCCCCTGACCATGAACTAGGTCGAAATTTTGAGTTGTTAGGAATCGTTGAACACCCATGGTCGATTTTGTCACATCGCCTTCGTGTTTCTAACATAAATTCCCGGACCAATGCTGCCTGGTGTGACGCGCAGGATACCAAAAAGGTGTGGACAGATGGCTCCGTCATGTGGCCCGATCACCTGCTGCTCACATGCGCAGGTTTTGCCGTGGTTGATGAACATCAAAATGTGTTGGCATCAGGTCCCGTCATGCATTGGTCACTTTGCAGCTTCACTGCCGAACTTTGGGCGTTGTTGTATGCCGTGTTTGATGCAAGTGGGCCCGTACATGTCCATTCCGATTGTCTTAGTTTGGTTCACCAGACACAGTACATGATTGATCATGAGCAGATTTGTGATGATTGGGCTTGGCATAATTGGTGGCAGTCTTTGTTTGACCGGTGGCGATTCCTCCGTACCATGCACAGTGAACCCTTGCGTGTCACTTGGGTTCCGTCACATGTGTTGGAAGGCCTTCCGGTTGAAGAGATCACGGAATCGCAGGCCCAAGCTTGTCGCACGACATGTAAGGACATTGCAGGGAACCGCGCTGCTGACCTGGCAGCCAAACAGGCTGCACTTGCCAACTCGCCTATCTTTGCACACCAATACCCCAAGATTGTCGAGGCCACTCTTGAACGACAGAACTGGCTCACAACTCTGTGCTACACCCTTGGGGTCAATGTTCAACCCTATCAAGAAGAAGAAGTTGAAAGTCATGATGTGAAGAACCGTGCACCCCGTGACTTGTTTCCTGCGTTGCCATGGGACTCTGTTGCAACTGAGTTCAACTGGACCATGCGCCACAGTTGGCCACCCCAGCCGCCGTCACGCTGGGAACTTCCGATTGAAGACTGGGATGCACTAGGGACGTTTGTTGCGAGAGTTAAGTGGAAAGAATCCCCTGAGCTGCAAATTTCCTACGCGGAACTTGCCGTCCTGTTTCTTTTGTACGGAGGTCGCTGCCATCTTTCACATGATGAACATGCCACGTTTCGTACTATCATTCGGTGGTTGCAGGGACGCCTGGCTTTTTGCCGGCGCAAGCTTTTGTTTGATCTCCATCCGGGTCGGCACACCCCGAGAGATCACAACGCATGGGGCAAAACCATGCCATCCGGTGTTATCAGAGGAGCTGCGCCGTACTTTAGCAATTCAGAGCTTGAATCTCTTGTCTCGATCACCCAAAGGCTTCAAAGGGTATCTGGGCAATGTTTGTCGACTTGGGATTTTCCCATTGCTCCTTTTCTCTCGTGGGTGATGTTTTGGGTCTCACCTGCTCTGCAGGTGCTTTGTGTTTCTTGTCTGCCGATCAGTGGCAGCTGACGGCAACGCTCGTCACGGGGAGTCCGCGAGCGCGTGAGGTAGAACAAGTTTTTCCCCCCTCTCGTAAAGCAGCGATCTGGGAGGCGCACCCTGTGCTGTCACTTGATCACAGGCTAGGCCAGCTACTGCATCGTGCGCATCTGTGAACGTGTTTGTGCAGTTCTTTGCCTCTAATGACCCAGAGTCGAGTTGCCAAATTACCACAAAAACGGGCTCAACATGGCTCAACATGTTTTCGACCAAGAAACCGAAACCAATTTGACCAAGCTTTTTGGGACTTTCCGTGCTTGTCACCATTGGCCATGGAAATCGCTTCCACTTCACCGACCCTCGGCTCACCGAACTCCAAATGATCGGCTCAAAACTGCCCAAAGCGCTGGTTCCGCATCTTGAGGCCCTGGCAAGTCAATTCTCCAGCATGCCTCGCCACATCGGTCACGGGAGGCTGAAACACGGGGTAGTTGAGTCGTCTGAGAAATCCCGTTCTCTGTTCGTGTTTTGAACGGCGGCAAAAGGGGCCTAGGGGCCTAGAATGATCTAAGGTAGAGATGGTTCTGCTGTGATCTCTATCATTTGGGTCTTTAAAGCTCCAAACCAGCCAGTCCAACCTCCAAACCAAAACAACTCTTGATTCTTGGATAGCCAACCCCCCCCCCATTCCATTCCATTCCCCCCTCCGGCCGTTTTGGCTGCCAAATGTTCCCGGAGCTCCGCGTTCGCTTCACGTAGTTGAGACCTCGCCGCGGACCGTGATTCAGGCTGACACCAGTACACCCCCGGTCGGTGACAACAGTGTGTCAACGGAGTCGATGACATGTTTTCTTAGCCTTTGACATGGGCTAATGATATTTAGCATATATTAGCCAACAAGTGCCAATGCAGTTAATGTAAGAAGTTTCAGAAGTGCCTCCCAAACACTCAACAACTGCATATCCTTGCATGGTGGAATATTGAGCCTTTACGATCAAGGACTTTTCCACTCGTTTTTGTGGGAAAGTGTGAAAAAATCAGGGCAAGTGCAATTCACACAAAAGCAAAAGCGGACCACACAGAAAGCCAAACCATACTGGGTGCCCTTCATGATCATTCATGTTACGCTGTTCACTGGGGCACTTCTGTTTCCACCAGTGGATCATGGGGGGTTCAACAAATGCTGCGCCCCTGGGCCATGCAGATCTGTGCTCTGCGGCCAGCATCTCCAGCACCCTGTTTCTTTTCAGCTTCATGCGAGTCAGCTGATTTAGAAAATGGAGAATCAATCAGTCATGAGTCACGAGAATGATTATTGGTTGCAACATCCTGAAGATCCGTGCTAGCGGACCTGGGATGGGCAGTGGGCACGACGTGGGCTCTGACGGAATCAACCACAATTTCACCCAACAAAAATCTAGAAAGGAACATCGCCATGGTGTCATTCAAAAGCAGCTCCTCCGCGCGTGCCACTGTGGAGCTTTCAAAGCACAATATGCGATGAGAAACATCGCCATGTGAAGCTCCTTTTCTTGTCACCCAGGTCCGCTATGTACACGAACAATCGGGGTAAATAGCGCAGAGGAAGGACAAATGAACCCAACAATCGTTCTGCAGGATTTCTTCGTTCTTCCAACTGCCGCTGTCAAAATGAAATGTCTGCTGCCGATCAGCAGCGGACTCGGTCAGCTAAAGCCTTAAAGGCTCAACCTCTCGCGCTCCTCGTCCTGCATGGAGCAGGGCGGCACCAGGGCGAGGATGTGGATGCTTTAAAGTGCTGAACGCTTGGAGATTCGAATCTGTTTTCGTCGAAACCTCTTAAAACATGTTCAAACATGCTGACACCCGTCCTTGCACAAGCTGACAGTAGGCCACAAAATCTGAAGAAACGAAGGGCAAGAGACAGTCGCAGCTGCAGGGCCAAAGTCATCCTCACAGGGAAGCTACTAGTATGCGATCGACTCCACATTCATGCGCCCGAACTGGACACATTCATCAAGGGAAAGAACGTATCAGTAGTTGGAGGCCATCGCTGTTAGGGTGGAGTGGAGGCTATCGAATATTAGGGTGGCGGCCGTCGCTGTTCGGTTGGAGGCCATTGCTATTATCAGTAGGCTCAGCGCTGGTTTGGAGGCAATTTTGCTGCCTGACAAATACACCGCAAGAAAGGACCCCCCAAAAATAACCCTCTTCCCATTCAAAGGCACCTGCTCAGCTTCAAGCATCTCCTCAAGTTCTTGTTCCCTCATCTGCTCAACAAATCTCTTGAAACTGCCTGGGTGGTCAGCCACTGCCATGAGAAATGCAAGGAGCCGCACCTTGTGAGATGCTTCTTCTTCTTCTTTGATCAAGCACAACCAAAAGGAGGTCCCAGGCATTGCAACAGCGCTGCGCTGCAAAAAAAACGAGGGCGAAGACCATGGAAAGGCGCGATTATTGTTCTCCTCTTTCAGCCTAAAGGCAACTGCTTCAATGAAAAAATTGGTCCATCCTCTGCAATTGTATTTTGGGCTTGGTTGGTGGCCCACAGCTTGCCCAGCTTACATCCAACTTCTAGCTCACCATTAGCTTGTATATTCATATACTATACAATTATGTAACACTAATACTTACTATATATGGTGATGATTAAGAGGATAAAGTCCATCTGGTGTTATGATGGAAACTTCATGGGTGACTTGAACGCACTAAGATACTTCTACATATCTGGCTGCTAAGACTCAAGACCATGCTCCCGCTCCAGCGCCCCCGACAGAAGGTCTTTGGATCCTTCACACTTGTTGCTGAGCACGTACACCTCAAAAGCTGCCGGTGGCCAACGGCACGTGGTGGGTCAATTCGGGGTCAAACCTTTGCCGGTTCGGCAGCCAGCTGGATCCGATCCTGACGCCGATCTACCCACGACGAGGGTCAAAATTCGGGTACCTTGGTCTGTCACCAAAAATGAGCAGGATGGCCTAATGGCCTACCAGGCGAGTTAAATGGAGCCAAACTTAAGAGTTTAGGGCTCCAGGTTTTGACCCACAGCCTTCATCGTTGCTCTTGTTGTTGCTATTGCTTTTGCTCCTCTGGTGGTCTTCAAAAACACGTGCGAATGAATTGGGTTGGCAGATTTGCTGTCTCCATGTGAAAAAAGAGTAGACAAACATTAACCAACGAAGGAACCAACGATTGAACCGCGGAGCTCCACGACCTGCGCGGTACGAGCGAGGCTGGGAGGTGGGAAGTCCTAAATGCTTGAAAGACAACCATAAGAGCAACGGCCTCCAACTGAAGAGCGATGGCCTCCAGCCTAATAGCAATGGCCTCCAACCGAAGAGCGACCTAAATGCCTGGAAGACTGAAGAACTTTCTGAAGCAGCTCGGAACTCGACGTTGCTCTTGGCATTGTGGACCTGCTCCTGGAGTTGTGGACATGACTTCCCTGCACATACCCGTACGTGTTCGCTCAACTATCTATTCAATTCAAAATCACGAAAAGACCTCTCAGCCATAATTAATGATCAATCAAGAATTGACCAGACAGGGCCGCATAGCATTCCAAACGTCTCGTGCAGTTCCAGTTCAGAGACTTGCTGCCTGGGTTGTCCAAACCAGCTTTGCAAGGATTACGCATGATTACGCCCAACATGTATCAACATCTCACAGAAACCACACTTGTCCGTCCAACAGCCCACAAACTCCTGCATTCGTTCGAAAGCACTCTGGCGTATGTCCTGACCAGCACTCAGCGGGCGACTTGTGTTGTGCCCTGCTAGTCTCTTTAATAAAAATACGTGATGCGGCTGATGCAAAGTGTCAGCATATGCATCTCTAGCATCTGGGATACAGTAGAATCATTCAATAACTATCTCTGAACGTGTGCCTCAAGAGCATCTGCCAAACTGACTCGAAATGGAAACCATATTTGGTATTATTTTGCAATCCACCAACTTTAAGCTGGAGCTTGGCACCTGACATGTCAGAACCAAAGGATCTTGCAGTTCCATGGTTTCCTTGCTTGGCAACCCATGAAGCTAGCCACCCCGCCTGCTGGACAGCTAGGGGCAAGCGCTGGTCAAGCCTGGTGCAGTTGAACGTTTCATAACGTTCTTGTTTCGTTTATTTCTTTCTCCATCTTTCTCCTATTTCCTCCTGAAATTGATTTGTGGTTCCAAGCAACTCTTTAACATCACTAGAATCAATGCAGCGCAACACGCGACACTGACCCAGGCTGACCTGTCAAGGGAGATTTCAGGAGCTGCCTCCCACTCATCCAAGGACCTCAAAGGAGTCTGGAACAGGAGAATAGATATGTTTTCTAAGTACGAGTAGCATATTGACACAAGTACACGCAATTGCCTGGCAGCCTTGGAAAGGGCCCGGTGACTCTGGTTTCTTTTCTTTTATGATCTTTTATGGTGATCGAAGGCCCTTTAGGCCCCCTAAAGTTAAAAAAAGGGGACGATATCTTGGTATGTTGTTCATACCCCCCACTTGGGGATTGCTCTAAGCGCTTGCAGGTTTTCCCGTTCTGAAATCTTATCCTTTAACTTTTCACAGTCGTTTTGGAGTAGATGGCACAATCCCCAAAGGTGGTTTGTAATTTATAGTGGCTTATATCGACGTCGATATAGAAGACATCTTGGGGTCTGTGCCATCCGCCTTGAAACCACTGGCTGTTTGTGTCGCCTTTGAACCTAGGAACTCATTTTGTGCTTTGCTTCCGAACAGAACAATCATTGAACAGCGCAGATCGTTCAGCGCTTCAATCCATGGTGGCGTTCGGCGTCACGGGCGACGAGCGGTCCATGTTCAGAACTCAAACGTCGTCACTTTGATTTAAACGCCGGTCTTGACTCAGTGACTATCCCATTCTGGACAAGGTCTGAGAAAAGCTGGCTGGAAGAAACGATGGATCCCGACGCCTTTTGACTGTGAATCTCGTGCTGCAAGTGCTGCAAAAGTCTTTCAGTGCGTATGATATCTTCTTGACCTTGGTGTCAAAACGAGGTCTGCGCAGCGTCAAAACGAGGCCTGGAGCCTATCCCCCAAAAGACTCCCAAAGGAAATCGTGCAATTCACAATAGCTTGCGTTCCAACGAGCAAAACAAACATCAACAAACACGTAGCACCGCACAGCTCTTGTGAAACAATGGCACGGCTCTTGAGAAGCAAACTTCACTGCTCGCTTAAGTGGGTGGGTTTCTCACACGATCAAACATTGAGCTAGATGCCTCCAACAGATCAAAGGCCACAGGGACATGGTCTTTTTCACCCTTTGCTTGGGCACGTGCTGTCTGCAAGGCCCTTCTCCAGCTCCTTCTTCTGCTGGACAAGGCGGTTGATGCTCATCTGCATGCCTGGCAGTTGTATCGTTGCCTTCTCGTTTATATTGCACTTGGAAATCCAACCAGGCAGCTTCGCATTGAACCAAATTGGCCAGCAGTGCTACTGGTGGTTCCGTCCATGGCAGCCTGAAGTTTTTCCTTGACCCGTTGTAGCAGAGCGACCTTGGCAAACAAGAAGGGCGCCGGGCGGCCCTTGTAAAAAGATGTTTGCAAGCAGGAGGTCTGCTTAGGCAGCGCTTGTGTGAGCATTGCCACATGTTGATTCAAGTTCACCGAACACCTGAAGAAGCTGTCCCATGTGGTCTTTGAACCCGTTTTGGCCCAAGGCGGGCTGAGCTACATTGAGCTACCACACGGAATCCTCCACAAACTTCGTGGCATTCTCTTCAAGCTCGTGGGTCCTGACCGAACACCCGAGTCAGCCACCGCAAGTCAACCGAACCCTGCGCAGTGAATTGGCGCACCGGACCAGGGGAGAGTCTCAAGTTGCTTTGGATCATGATGAATCTACAGAATGGGACATGATATGACATGATGAATTGCAACATTGATCATGCTAGGCTGGCTACGAATTGAGAGATGATACCCTTCACCTGAGAGATCCACACTGACCCCTCAAAAGCATGCTGGGTGAGGTTCACCGAGTCAGAAACAGCTCAGCTCATAGGTTTGCCAGCTCCACGCTCATCATCTCCAGGGCCCAGCATTCCATTTTTGTGGTCTCATTCGGGGGGACACGCGATCGCAAAATAGAAATTCGGGGGGGCAAAAAGGACACAGGATGGAGATCATCCTGTCGGTTTGATGAGGTTGTCCATGGTAGTCCCTATGCTGCCAGCTCTGGCTGCCAGCTCTGGCTGAACGCTGTCCACTCCGTCGGGGCTCTGGAGGCACGTTTTGGGCCACACCTGCCGATGAGCTCTTGGGTGTGATACGCCTCATGGCCAGGCTCATGACAACACCTTCCACGTCCCTGTCCGATGCTAAACCGCCTGCCTGCGCTCCTGTGCTTTCAGCTGATGCTACTTGTGTTTGCAACCAAAGGCGCTGGCAAACACAACAGCTTTGACACCATTGCAAAATCTTTTATCACTTCTTTACCACTTGTGAATCAGCATCAGGCCACTTGTCACTTAGGTTGAAGTCCCAAGGTCTATATATTCTGATCTATCTCTATATATATGATATATATATATTATATTCATCCACCCGCGTACTACCCAAGGTCCCGGCAGAGCGCTGCACACTCTCTTTGCTGGTGTTTTCTTCGCCTCAGAACGCCGAGACGGGGCGGTTGGGGTCGGGGGGTCTGTGGGCGCGCCCTGCGGGCACCGGATGCACCACGCACAGCCTGGGAGCATGTGCTGTGTAGCACTCCTTACAGTTGAAGAAGTTGCTCCAAGAGAAGGATCTCCCAAAAGCCCATGGAGTAGCTTGGGGATGAGACCAGATCGGTGGGTCAGTTCCCACCCCTCTCAGGAACCAGCTCCACTCATCCTCTTTCTCCAAGCTCAGGAAGGTGGCGCCAAAACTCCATCGTTCGTCTTCCCGCCTCGGTTTTCGGCTGATAATGCCTTCGCAACGGCTCGAAGACATGGGGAGCTTTCCGAAGGCAGCGGACAGAACACCGCCCAGCATCCACTTCCGCCACGCTGGCCAACGACTTCCGCTCCGCAGGCATTTCTTCGGCGTGAAGCCCAGCGCAAGTCTCCAGCAAGATTTCTTGACTGGTGTCAAATCCGGGGCAAATCGGGTTTGAAAGCGGACGAGGTAGGAGACGAAGGGGCCCCCCCATCCCCAGCCCAGGATGTCCCCAGCCCGGGTGAAAGTCAAGGTGATCGTGAAGAACCTGAGATCTCTAAGAACCTGAGATCTCTCGTCTCTTTGGACACCCGGCACAGTCCAAAAACAACGGCTAAACTTGCATCCAGTCTGATCAACACCACAAGCAGGCATGTCCAACAATATGAGTCAATATGTTGCAGGGGTTCCAAGACAAATCTCCTTCTTGATTCTTATAATAATGGGCGCTTTCCAGTGTTTGTACTGGAGAAGCCCCCGACTGGAAGGCTTGGCAGTTCAATTGCCCAGGACAAAAAACATGACATGTGAATGCATTGATGTACATGACACATCGATGGGCATGCTGAACACACTGAACACACAGAGGACCTTGGTCCCCAAAGCCCCTCCTCCAACATATGGTATGTTGAAGTCCGACACATGCACTCTTGGCACGAGAGGGACGCATGAAAAGGCACAGGGATCTACAAATATATAAATATGAACCATTTGCGACCAACTGGGAGCCTCAACTCAGGCTGCTGCAGCGTTCTTTACATGTTGCAGCAATGTGATGGTTGAAACCTCCGCGCGGAGGTCCTAGATCAGGTCCTAGATCTCCCTGCGCCCACACTTGGTGCACTTGGAGAACTTGAACCTGAGATCCAAAATGATCCAAACACCAAACTCATCCAAACTCCAATATCCACACAAACACACAACTAATTATCACACGACTATCACAACTCAATTGGGAGGGGCACAGAATGATACTGAATTGGACGAAAATGCTACCTTGCAAAGCTAAGACAAGGAACATACACTTGCCGCCATCCTTACTACATCCACCTGCACCCCCGGGGTTCGCGATCACGCCTGAGCCTTTGACCAGTTTACCTTCTGGTTGCTGACAGAAGTTGCACTTCCCATACTTCCAATGGTGGATTCCATCGGGCGCCTTGCTGCAACTTCCACTGGCCGACTCCTTAGGGATTCCACCGGCCGACTCACCCGACAGTGATGCAAGAACCGGCAGAAGACCAAACATCAGCATCAGCAAGGGGAACATGTGGGATCAGTGTGGCATCACCATTATGGCATAGTATGCCCAATCACGATGCTCACAATGTTGAGAAGTGCTTGTGGAACTTGTGGTAGTGGTGGCTTCTTAAAGCTTCGAATCATGGTCATCATGGTCATAAAATGTCATAAACATCTCCTCTTTATCTCAGCGCAGCCAGTCCCTTTTCCAAGGAACCACCAGGTTTCCTCGGCCTACGCTTTGAAGCCCTGGGGCCCAGTCACTGAGACCGAGAGATCGATCCTTTTCGGTGCACCGTGCGTGCACCGCGCCGGGCGCCAAGTGTCCATGGCACTTCCAGGCGCCTGTTTGTAGGTGCTCGCCTCGCCGGGTGCCCGGCCGGAGGAGAGGTCCTTCAAGATGTTCTCGGGCATGTCCGGATCGCCATGGATGCTGCTACGGGTCTTCAGGATGGCATCGCACTTCAAGCCTAAGCTGAAGGAGTCGGAGAATGGGTGGTGCTGGCAGAGAGCTTCTAGAAGAAGTCATTGGTCTCTCCAAGGGAAAACAGCTTCTCTATAGGGCCCTTCGGAAGGGGAACGCGCCCTCTAAGAAGTATTGGAAAGGAATTCTCAGTCAATTCTCTGGATGCCTCTTTCAAAAGGACCCAACCCAAAGGTCTGCTGGAGCTTTGCGGCCAGGATGCAGTGGGCCTTGTCATTCAACCATTGTGGCACCGACTTGTAGCCACACACATGGCAGGTCACTCGGGTGCGATCATCACCGGTGCCCGCGGAAGCTTTGGTTGCCTCATATCTTGGGGCCTCCAGGCAAATCGGTGTTGGCCGGGAGCTTTTGAGCATCAAGTGGCTGGTAATATCTCTTTGTCTCGTTCAATCCGCAAAACCCTTGGAACCTTCCATGCAAAACTATGAGAACAACAGCACAGCCAAGTGAATCCAAGTCATCCCAAGTCCTCCTTGGATGTTTTCTGGCTCACTTCCTCTTCTTCTGATTTGGTCTCCTTGACCACGAGCGCTGCTGCCGCCAAGGTTGGGCTCTGTGGCCTTGGCTTCGTCACCGGCACCACGCGTGCCGCGTTCTCGCTGGAGGCGGTGGAGGTGGTCGACGAGCGCCGGGAGTCGGGGCCCGCCATGCCGCACTCGCCGCGGCCGCATTTGGTGCACTTGGCGAACTTGAACATACCTGAGAACAGAAATCGAACTGAGATGAACTGCACAACTGGGGGGGATCTTCGAAAGCTGGCGAAGTTGGAGGCAAGAACTGGTGTTTGAGCCAGGCCACTTTTGCTTTGAACATGCCAGCGGATCGGAGCAACGAAAAGTCCAAACCTCTAAAAAAGGTACCAAAGAACTATGATTACTATGATCGTGCCACCTGAACAAGGTCCTTCTGCAGCCTCTTCAAATAACTCAAATGAACATCTCCAAGGACATTGAAGAACAACAACTTTCAACATGTCGATCAATCCAACCCCACCTAACCCGCATGCTTTTTAGATCCTCCGGCTGTTTTCCTTCATCCACCTAACCCACACACATGCCGTGCGGCATTTCCCGCCCTTCTCGCACTCCGCGGCTCCGCCGGGGTTCGCCATGACGCCGGGACCCTTGGCCAATTTCCCTTCTGGCACCTGGACGACGGAGGGACTGGAGGTGGAGCTGGGTGAGAGGGGTAGCTGCCTGATGGAGCGAGAGGGACATGGTGGGGAACAAAAATGGCCACCAACCTACTAGCCATGGCCTCCACGTCCAATCAATCCGCAAAGGCTGAGAAACCAGATGAGTGCGAGGGGGTTGAGAGAGACGATGTAGACGCGGCAGCAATCTAGCACGTTCAATAGAAGTTTGTGGGACGCTGAAACAAAACATCTTGATCATGTTTTATCTATCCACTCCTCACCTCTCCAAGATCTGCATACTGTACACTAAAATGTTGGCCCAAGCACTTGGCAGAAGTTGCACTTCCCATATTTCCAATGATGGACGCCATCTGGTGCCTTGCTGCATATTCCACTGGCCGATTCCTAAGCACTTTGAATGAAGGTGCACGTCACAACGTCATTGGACATATATGCATATGAATGACATAGAACGACCTTGTCACAAGCAGGGTTCCGTCCTTACCCCCAGTACTTTACAATCCAATTCAGGAACAGAAACGATCAAATCACCTGAAGTTCATGTTTAGCTTCCACATGAGATCCGGAATTGAACTATATAGCGGGGAGAAGTAGTTACAGTAAGTGGTTTGCGTTTCTCCCAGAAGTCAACAAGAGCCGTTCTTTCAGTGAACCACCCCTTCAGAACAGCCCACGTTCACCATCTCCATCTCCCACTAACAAGGCGCCCCGCCTTACCATGCAAAAACAAGATGGAACCCACGAACCCGAATGCAAACACGATCGAACAACTAATATGTCCAAAGGACACTCTTGTAGGACACTCTTGCGGGACACTCTGTAGGACAGTCTTGTAGCACACTCTTGTGGGTCACTCTTGTAGGAAACTCTTGTGGGACACTCTTGTAGGACACTCTTGTGGGACACTCTTGTGGGACACTCTTGTAGGACACTCTTGTGGGACACTCTTGTGAAACACTCTTGTAGAACACTCTTGTGGGTCACTTGCAGGACACTCTTGTGGGACACTCTTACACGACACTCTTGTAGGACACTCTTGTGGGACACTCTTGTAGGACACTCTTGTAGGACACTCTTGTCGGAAACTCTTGTGGGACACTCTTGTGGGACACTCTTGTGGGACACTCTTATAGGACACTCTTGTGGGACACTCTTGTGGGACACTCTTGTAGGACACTCTTGTGAGACACTCTTGTAGAACACTTGTGTGGGTCACTTGCAGGACACTCTTGTGGGGCACTCTTACACGACACTCTTGTAGGACTCTTGTGGGACACTCTTGTAGGACACTCTTGCAGGAAACTCTTGTGGGACACTCTTGTGGGACACTCTTGTGGGACACTCTTGTAGGACACTCTTGTGGGACACTCTTGTGGCACACTCTTGTAGGACACTCTTGTAGGACACTCTTGTGGGTCACTCTTGTAGGAAACTCTTGTGGGACACTCTTGTAGGACACTCTTGTGGGACACTCTGTGGGACACTCTTGTGGGACACTCTTGTGGGACACTCTTGTAGGACACTCTTGTGGGACACTCTTGTGGGACACTCTTGTGGGATACTCTTGTAGGACACTCTTGTGGGATGCTCGTGTAGAACACTCTTAAGGGACACTCTTGTGAGACGCTCTAGTGGGACACTGTTGTGGGACAGTCTTGTAGGACACTCTTGTGGGACACTCTTGTAAGACACTCTTGTGGGACACTCTTCTGGGACACTCTTGTAGGACACTCTTGTAGGACACTCTTGTGGGTCACTCTTGTGGGGCACTCTTGTAGGACACTCTTGTGGGACACTCTTCTGGGACACTCTTGTAGGACACTCTTGTAGGAAACTCTTGTGGGTCACTCTTGGAGGAAACTCCTGTGGGACACTCTTGTAGGACACTCTTGTGGGACACTCTTGTGGGACACTCTTGTGGGACACTCTTATAGGACACTCTTGTGGAACACTCTTGTGGGACACTCTTGTAGGACACTCTTGTGAGACACTCTTGTAGGACACTCTTGTGGGACACTCTTGTGAGACACTCTTGTGGGTCACTTGCAGGACACTCTTGTGGGACACTCTTAGGAAACTTTTGTGGGACACTCTTCTAGGACACTCTTGTGGGACACTCTTGTGGGACACTCTTGTAGGACACTCTTGTGGGATACTCTTGTCGGACACTCTTAAGGGACACTCTTAAGGGACACTCTTGTGAGACACTCTTGTGAGACACTCTTGAGCGACACTGTTGCGGGACACTCTTGTGGGACACTCTTGTGGCACACTCTTGTGGGACACTCTTGTAGAACACTCTTGTTGTGGGACACTCTTGTGGGACACTCTTGTAGGACACTCTGGGACACTCTTGTAGGAAACTCTTGTGGGACACTCTTGTGGGACACTCTTGTGGGACACTCTTGTGGGACACTCTTGTGGGACACTCTTGTAGGACACTCTTGTGGGTCACTCTTGTAGGAGACTCTTGTGGGACACTCTTGTGGGACACTCTGTGGGACACCCTTGTGGGACACTCTTGTAGGATACTCTTGTGGGACAGTCTTGTAGGACACTCTTGTGGGACACTCTTGTGGGACACTTTTGTAGGACACTCTTGTGGGATACTCCTGTAGGACACTCTTAAGGGACACTCTTGTGAGACACTCTAGTGGGACACTGTTGCTGGACACTCTTGTGGGACTCTCTTCCAGCTCCCCAGATACTCCGCGTACTAAAGTTGTACTACAAGGTCGCCAGTTCTCAGCTTCCAGCTCCCCAGATACTCCACTATACAGTTGTACTACAAGGTCGCCAGTTCTCAGCTTCCAGCCCCACAGATTGCTCCGCGTACTCAAGTTGTACTACAAAGTCGCCAGTTCTCAGCTTCCAGCTCCACAGATTGCTCCGCGTACTAAAGTTGTACTACCAAGTCACCAGTTCTCATCTTCCAGCTCCCCAGATACCCCGCGTACTAAAGTTGTACTACAAAGTCGCCGGTGCTCGCCTGCATTTCGCGCGCTCGACACGCACGATCTCCGCAGAGGGTTGCGCGGGCACCGGACAAATCGCACTCTCGCCTGCATTTCGCGCACTCGACACGCACGATCTCCGCAAAGGGTTGCGCGCGCATGGGACAAATCGCACTCTCGCCTGCATTTCGCGCACTTGACACGCACGATCTCCGCAGAGGGTTGCGCGCGCATGGGACAAATCGCACTCTCGCCTGCATTTCGCACACTCGACACGCACGATCTCCGCAGAGGGTTGCGCGTCAAGTCTCCAAAACGAGCGTTTCGTACGAGACTTCCTCAAAAACTCACACGTCAAAGTCTGCAAAACGAGCGTTTCGTACGAGACTTCCTCCAAAAGTTAAGCGGAAACACCCATCGGAGCACACACATCACGCAGCCCTGCCAAGCAGTTTCGCGATTCCAGCCCCTCCAAACAACATCCGCTCACACACCAATCCCAATGGGACAGCGACATTCACCTCTACCACAACTCACAACCTCACGATTCCCTGCGCCTGCCACGAATCTTTCCCCATCCACACGTCTAACGCGCACAAAGTACTGCGCCTGCCACGACATGTGACCTCCGTCACCCACGAGAATCGCACTTCCACGCCTCAAAACCCGCACAAAGTCCTGCGCCGGCCACGAAAAGTGACAATATCATCTCCTGTGAGCTTCAACAAAATTTGCACCACACCACACGTTTGGAATGATTTCGACCCATTCTGAGCACACTCCCATCCACCAAAATCGCCATTTCAGCTGAGACTTGTCACGAAAACCGAGCTTCGATGCCACACCCTGAAACGCAAATCCCAATGGCACGGCCACATCCAACACCCCAAAAACACGACTCTCCAAACGCTAATCCCAATGGAACTGCGCGGCAATCTGCGGATCTCACAAAACGCTGCGCCTGTGCAGCGAAATGCATCACGTTTCATGCGCGACATGTCGTTGTCATGCAAATCACAATGGAATAGCGTCGCAAACTGACACGTGATACGTCCATGCAAAGTCACTTGCAAAAGCTTCCCCCAATGGCAGCAAATTTGAGACGCGACGACGACGACAAACGACGAGAGACGACGACAGACGACGACACGACGCAAGCCACGCGAACACAGCTCCAACCCCCAGACCCCCAACTATAAACGGGAACCCTTCGCTACGCATTCGGGAAAAAACATGCAAAAGGCCTACGCCATCCCCTTGAACAACAAAGAAAACCACTTGGCAGTCGTTTGATTCCCCCGGTTTGCTCAGAACTGTCCCAATCCCTCCTTCTTTACCGTGCCAGACGTCCTTCCTGAACCCTTGTGCCCCAGCTATGCCAGAAGTGCGCGGTGAATTTTGTGGGTGTTTCTTTAATCTGCTCTGGCTGTTGCATGCTTTGAAAAATGTGATTCTGCTCTTGTACTTCTAGCAGTTAAACGAGGTTTTGTTTCACAGTTGGTTTTGACTGAAATCCTGCTAGTCATATCTTTGGGTCGTTTTTGTTGGGCTGTATATTTATTTTTGATTTCCCGGCATGTGGACGCGGCACGCTTTTAGGGGCAGTTGGTCCTACATTTTGGCGCAGCCTGTTGGTTGGGGAGGCGTGGAGGCCTGGTGACCTGACGGCAAAGTTTGTTGGGCAAAGCCGGAACCGCGCGCTCAAAGCATCAGAGGCCATCAGCAAGTCCTCTTCTGAACCGAAACTGCTTTCCTTTTGCGCAGCGCCACCGCTCACGCACACCCATTGTGTGTGTGTGCACAACACCTCTTCGCGCGCAGGGGTGCAGGATCCCAAGACACAGCTTACATCCGGTCCAGAAGGTATTGATTCTGCAGTGGGATGTTTTGCTAGCTGCCAACACTTGCCTGCAACGAAGGTTTGCAATCTTGCTCGAGAGCTTTTGTGGAGTTCTACTTTAGTATAGGATCGGGTTCTATGTCGCTCACGTGGCCAGAGTTTCTCAGTCAAGTGTTCTCAAGTCCCACACAGGTGTCGCAAGCCAAGTGAGTCTAGATATGCACCTTTTGGAAGTGCGGCAGCACAAGAGCAAGTGGAGCAAAAGGTCATGGCGCAGGTGGGGAGGCACACCCTTTAGTTATTTGTCCAACATGCTATGCAGGCCCCACCAACAAAAAACAACCCGTGCCACGTGTGAGAAACATCCTTGACAGAATGCAATTTCAAGGGAAGGTGCGCATCAGTGGTGGTAGCAGTACTAGTAGTAGTAGTGGTGGTGGTGGTAGTAGTAGTAGTAGTAGTAGTAGCAGCAGCAGCAGGAGCAGTAGCAGTAGCAGTAGCAGGAGCAGGAGCAGTAGTAGTAGTAGTAGAAGAAGTAGTAGTAGTAGTAGTAGTAGTAGAAGTAGTAGTAGTAGTAGCAGCAGCAGCAGCCAAGTAAAATCAAGTGGAAGGAAGACAAACCAAGAATAGCATCAATAATCATCAATAAACATTGTTTAAGAGGGCCAAAACAAACATGCAACAAACACATTAAAATTTCACAACTTCGAACCCTTCCCTACCGGAGGCTCCATGGCGCTGCCAGGTGCAACCTTAAAGGTGCTCGCCTCTCCGCAGCTCCGGCGCGTCTCGCCGTTGGCCTCGGCGCCGAAGATTTCCCGCTTGGCCTCATGAACGCTGCCGCGGCTGCGCAAGACCGCCTGACCTGGGCACCAGTGAGGACGGCCTGCATACCCTTCGCTCTGTCAAAACTTCTTGAGTTGTGCCAAGAAAACTTGAAATAAAACAGTCGATCTGCTGAACCCCCGGCCCCTAAGCCTACTACAATTTTACCCTTGCTTTACTCAGCTGGGCAGGTGGCAGCCCCCCTCCATCTTTCCCCTTTTCCAATGTTTGGCAGGTGCGCCTTGTGTTGGCACTTCTGAGCGCAACTGAATTCTGACAAACAATAAGGAGAAGAAAGGAGAGGAGGAAGGATGGAGGAGGGAGAGAGCGAGAGAGAGAGAGAGAGAGAGAATGGTGTGAGGGATCGGAGAGGTCCTGCATGCACTTTGATGAGCATGTTTGAGCCCTAGCTGCTAGCTCCTTTTGCTTGGAGTTGTTGCGGTTGCCCCACTAATACTTTTGAATCCAAGTGGCACTTGAGGCAGTGGGCACGATCGTTCAGCCACTGGGGCACGCACCTGAAACTTGCATTTCCAAACGGCTCGCTCTCTCGCTCTCTCTCGCTCTCTCTTTCTCTCTCTCTCTCTCTCTCTGTGTCTGTGTCTGATGCAGTTTAGCATGCTGCATCTTCCCACCCTCTATGAACACGGAGATGCACAAAAGAGGTCTGCCCAAAATTCTTTCTTTTGAACGCGGACCTGGAAGCTATGGGAGGCATCGGGCTTGGGTTTTCTCACTGTTGGTTTGCAATGCTTTGCGATGTCAATCATGTTCCTCATGTTTCCCAATAGAAAATACATGTCCCCGCAATTCAGCAAAAGAAATTTAGTATCGCAAGCTGGGACTGTAGTCTCTAGCAAAGAATTGAGCTACTTATGTGCGACTCCTAGTTCCCTGCTCTTTGGCATTCTTGTGAACCACAATCATGCAAAAGAATGCAAAAAAAGAGTCAATGTGGGATGTTGGAAAGGCAACCTTCGGTGGTGGCAGTGTCGAGGAGGTGATTCGGCTCGGAACTTGAGAGCCAAGAAAAGGGGGAATGTAGGATACACTGGCCCTCCAGAAGTGCATATCATCAAATGTCATCAAATATGATCAGTGCATGGTTGCTATTCTTTTGGAGAGTGGATTATCCGAAGCAGTATGAACGGAATCTCATGAAACAGCAGTTCTTCAAGCAAGGCGCTTGTAGCCGCACTTGTCGCATTCCATACGGATGCGGTCCTCTGCGATGGCCATCTTGGGGAGGTCACGAGTGAAGCGCAAAGAGGTCCGCTCCTACTGCCAAATCCCGCCTTGAGGTAAGTAATGACGCACACATGCAAAACGCGAAGCATGCAAACTGATGCTCATGCGATCCGCAAGCTTGCGCGAAGAGAAACACGCCATATGTCTACGAGTCATTTCTTCATGACTTTCGCCAAACAAATTCAGAATCTTCCCTGGGCAAAACCGGTGCCACTTCAGCCCACACTGGCCAGCAATCTTGCGTCACCAAATCAATTCCACATACACCCTGGAAGACTAACATGGAACCTGAAAACCCCTGGTTGGTAGAGGAAAATAGTCTTCCATGGGACCATTGTCAGGGTCTATGTTAGTTTTCGGGAGTGTATGTCCACTTCAACACCCCAGGAACGGGGAGGAGGAGGAACCCCAAACCGCCGGATTACTAGCAGAAGGAAGCTTCCGAACGGTGGCCATCGCTACTCGCCGCCATCGCTACGGCCGGTGACTCCGGTGACTCCACCGGGGATCCGCGCGGCGCCTGGGGGCGAGACCTGGGGGGGGGGCGGACGACCCCGACTCGGTCGCCATGGAGCGAATGGGTGGAATGGGAAGACGTTTGTTTGGATCTGAAGAGTTCAATTCGGTGCAGTGGGGTGCGGCCAGTTTTGAAGCTATCTTCAGTGGGAGATGCTTCATGATGCTTCTCTTTTGATTGGAACCTGGTTGGTTTCTCACCACATCTCCAAATCCTCCACCTTGGGCTTCTCGAGATTCATCGGAACACACCCGGATTCATCGGAACGACCGGGTGTGCCGTTTGGGCCTTTTGGGCCTTTGGCGCCGCGTCCGGAGACCGCCGCCATCTTTGGGCGAGCGATGTCGACATCGCCATGGTGTCAGGCCATGTCGTCGCCCCCAAAAACCGGGCGAGGTGTAAATACAGTGGTTTCAGAGGTTCAATGGCACTGGGGTTTTCCAAGATGTCCCTTTTTCTCCTGGGGAGTCCACTGAACCACCAAACTTGGGGTATCTTGTGCCATCTACTCTGAATCCGCTGTAACGGTTGTAGCGTTGAAAGTTGAATGTTCGGTTCTTTGGAGGTTCAAGTCCATGAACCTGTTCGTCCCGCGCGATCGCCCGCAATGCCCCTTGTGGCGGGTTCGCCAATGACATGCAGGGGTTGGGTGACCGCCAGCCGCAAGAGACTTGGACGGGTCCTGGACCCAGAAAAGCTCAAGCAAAGTCCGTTGACAGCACACCTCAGCCAATGATCATTCCAAGTACGACACTTGGAGCAACTCCGCTCCACGTCGAACATCAGGGCTGACCTCCGGTAACTCTTGCATTCCCATGAGTTCCCCAACACCCTCCATCACACTTGCATAAAGAAAGGTCGCCGTGCGGGTACTAATACTTCTTAATTATTGTGATTTTCTATATATAATTATATAGTTGTTTGCAAGATCTGAAGCACGCAACTACTTAAAGCACACGTGGGTGGCCAGTCGATGGCTCCTGTTGGGCGTTCTTTCTTGGAGGCACATGTGCACGACCCCGTAATGTCATGGAATATGACATCAACGTGGAGACACCACAACTCAGCTGACATGGTGTGACTTCCGTGTGTCCTCTGATTAAGGATTGCAGTAAGGGTGAGGTAAGCCGGACGCGGGTGGCCTGACCAAGGGTCGCAAACTGATGCAACGACAGAATGAACTGAACCAGTCCACTTTACCATGAAACCGCACGAAAAACTTGAGATGAACCGCTCCCAGAAATCAAACGAGGCCAATTCATTTGGCCACTTGAAGATAGCTATAAATAGCTTACCAGTCACTAGAAGTCGGGAATACTTGTCCACACCTGGAACGATTCTGACTGTAGTGCTGACATGGCTCACTTTCCCATTTGCAGATTGCTATCTGGAAGTGCCTGGAAGTGGCTGCAAAACAACCGGTTGCCCCTGGCCATTCTCCGGCTTTTGCAGCGAGTAAAAAACAACACACTGTACATCAACACCCCGTTCACCCCGATCCACCCCGCTCCGTGCAGCAAGCCAAGCTTCGGCTTCGGCGCCTCATAGGTACCCTAGCCCGCTGGGGAACGCCATGGGATCAGGTATTCGCCCAGGAGCAATGCCATTCATTGAGAAAGGAAGGCCGTCATGGCCCAGAACCTTGGAACCACTTTTGACCAGACTCCCGCTTGGAACCAAGAACTAGGAAACATCTAGGCTCCTTAACAGCGGTGGTGATGGTCCCACCCTAATGTTGGATGCTGATTAATACATGGGTTCTCTATCATGCTAATTTTTTCCGAAAATAATTCTGGAACCATGTTTGTTTTGAGGGTTCTCTATTATGCTAGATTGTTTGGGGATCCCAATATCAATCTGTTAATATATATCTGAGACATTAATGTTCAAATTGCTTCGGAGATCTGCGAATACTACCAAGCCATTGACTGGTTTGCTGAGAGTATTATTGGTAATCATAAGTTTCTTTAGTTCTTCGAAACTCACAGTTTCCCAACGCCTTCAATTCCTTAATCAATCCTTTATATAAAGATTGTTCCTAAACAAATTTTCGAGGTAGTAGACCAAGAAGGCCCCTGATCCACTAATCTTGTCTTACGGGTTCTCAATTGTGTAAAGTTTGTCACCCAAAAAATCAAACAAACAATTAGATTATATATAATACTACTAAGCCAATGGCTGGCTTGCTGAGAGCATTATTGGTAATCAAAGGTTTCTTTGGTGTTTCAAAACTCACAGTTTCCGAAAGCGTTCAACTCCTTCATCAATCCTTGATATGTTCCCAAACAAGTTTTCAAGGTAGTAGACCAAGAAGGCCCCTGATCCTAAAAAATAGTTTTGTTTTAACGGGTTTCAATTGTGCAAAGACTTTTCACCAGAAAAAACGAAAAACACTCAAATCTTAACACTACTAAGCCAATGGCTGGCTTGCTGAAAAAAATATTGGTAATCACAGGTTTCTTTCGGCCTTCACAACTCACAGCTTCCCAAAGCATTCAATTCCACAATCAATCCGTTATATAAAGATTGCTCCTAAACAAATTTTCAAGGTAGTAGACCAGGAAGGCCCCTGATCCTCAACAATAACTTTGTTTTAACGGGTTTTAGTTGTGCAAAGACTTTTCACCAGAAAAACGAAAAACACTCAAATCTTAACACTACTAAGCCAATGGCTGGCTTGCTGAGAGCATTATTGGTCATCATAGGTTTCTTTCGGTCTTGAACGGTCCAAAGCAATCAATTCCTTCATCAATCCGTTGTGTAAAGACTGCTCCTAAACAAATTTTGAAGGTAGTAGACCTCAAGACCTGCTGAAGATCTTAGGTTGCATAGGAAATGGATTGTTGAAATATAATGAAGTACCTATATAGCTTCAAAGAACCTGAGAAAGGAACATGAATACTACAACCAATTACAAAGGAATCCTCTCAGGAACCCAGATTTGTTTTGGCGGTTATTTGTTATAGAAGGTATCCCATTTCTTTAGAGGGGGGCCCCTTTACTAATCAGGATGCAACATTACTAGTGATGGCCCCCAACCTAGGGCACGAGTATCTTAGAGACAATGCAAGAAAATGTGGCCACATGACTGGACAACGCTGCGTGCCCAGAAGCCCCCTGCCCCTGCGAGCGCACATCTCGAGCATCTCGCCCGGAAAGGCTTCCAACGCCTCAGGGTGGGGCCGGTCGGGATTCTTCTGCTCCGATTACCCATGGCAAAAGTCCAGAAAATTGGACTATCACCCGGGACTCGTCTGGACATTGATCTTTTCATATGTCATCTATTTTCCTTGGAAGCTTGCATTCACATTCACAAAAATGGGAGCTCCATGGATCGACTCTGCCGAGAACGTCAGAATTCACAATCCCTACTAACTGGTCCGTGAGCTTCTCGTTTGATCTTCAAGTCATGAGGTCTTCACGATTGCAGCGTCAGCATGAGAGCTTGGACAAGACATTCTGGATGCCGCAGTGCAACTTGGCGTTCGTTTTTGCATGGTATGACCATACAAGGCCGGGTGGTACGTAAGGCTGTCTCTCGAAAACCTCGGGTTCCAAGCCTCTTATTGCGTCCACGCAAAGACCTCGCTTCTGTGGGTGTTTCCTGAACGTCCCGGCCTTTCGGCCTTTTTGAACCGTCCCCCAACATCCGAATCAGGACATAAAGGGATTGGTGCCTCACACTCCAAGTGAGTTTTCCGGTCATTGTGCCTGTGATTGGGAAAGAGCATGTTGATTGAGCCCGGTAATGACTTGGTGTCCCAACATGCTGGATGCCCAAGGCCTCTTAACTGTGGAGATGTGGAGGATTTCTCAAATGATGGGGGCATCAATTGAAACCAGAACAGATTCCGGATGTACTGCTACTGTATTGCTGATGCTTCAACGACCATCCTTGTTGCGGACCTGCCATATTCGCAAAGCATGATACACAACGGTTCTATAGGTGCCACGAGGATGACCATGACAAAACTACCTGAGCACCCTTCTCAAAGTATGGGCATCGTTGGTGAGTGGATAGCTCAACTCCCCAAGCCTCATCCCCTGTGCTAAATGGTCTGTGAGCTTCTCGCTTGATCTTCAAGTAATGAAGTCTTCACGTTTGCAGCGTCAGCATGAGAGCTTGGACAAGACATTCTGGATGCCGCAGTGCAAATTGGTGATTGGTGTTCGCTTTTGCATAGTATGACCATACAAGGCCGGGTGGTACGTAAGACTGTTTCTGAAAATCCCTCAAGCCTCTTACTGCGTCCGCCCGAAAGACCTGTGGCTTCTCCGGGTGTTGCCTGAACGTCCCGGCCTTTCGGCCTTCCAGAACCGTCCCCCAACATCCAAATCAGGACATAAAGGGATTGGTGCCTCAAACTCCAAGTGAGTTTTCCGGTCATTGTGCCTGTGATTGGTAAAGAGTATGTTGATTGAGCCCGGTAATGACTTGGTGTCTCACCATGCTGGATGCCCAAGGCCTCTTAACTGTGGAGATGTGGAGGATTTCTCAAATGATGGGGGGCATCATTTGAAACCAGAACAGATTCCGGATGTACTGCTACTGTATTGCTGATGCTTCAAGGACCATCCTTGTTGTTGCGGACCTGCCATTTTCCCAAGGCATGATACACAACGCTTCTATAGGTGCCACGAAGATGACCATGACAAAACTACCTGAGCACCCCTCTTAAGGTATGAGCATCGTTGGTGAGTGGATAGCTCAACTCCCCAAGTCTCATTGAGAGAAGGCTACTGAAATGCAACCCCTTCAACAATTTTTAGAATTCCTACACCCTGAGCGCTACCCTTAGCCTAGCAACCATCCCCTCACACTTGGTCAAGCGTGTTTCATCGTCTTTCTATGAATGACATGCGGCAGTTCACCAACCAAACCGGTTGCAAAACATCTGATTTCATATCCTGCCAAGCTATTGACTGCCGGCTTAGCCGACCAGAAGGGGGGCAGGAACTAACTCAGATTCTTTGTCACATTGGTCCGTGAAAACCTGTTTCAAATGTTTTTGGATGCTCTGAGGTGTTTTTTTGACCGCCAAATGCCAACACGGTCGAAAAGCGGGCACTTTTCGTGACTAAATGCCTCAGGCCTGCAGGATGCAGAGCAATCTCATGTGTTATGGCTACGCATGGCTACACCATGTCGCATTGGCCAGCTACAGAAACCCTTGTTACAAAACATCGCCGTCATGAATCGCGGAGTGGAGAACGCAGTCTGTTTCATACGGTAACAGCCATGTCAGTCTTCGGTCTGTGCCGGAAATTGCAGAATTCGTGAGCGTCATGGAGCGTGTGTGTTTACCAATATGGCCGCGCTGAGCACTGGCGTCTGGGAGCAAGGCAAAAACTGCTCAACATCTGACCATAGTGACCACCGCCAAGCTTGCAATCACATTCACGAGAATGGGAGCTCCATGGAAATCGGCTCTGCCGAGGAGCCGTCAGAATTGACAATCCCTGCTAACTGGTCCGTGAGCTTCTCGCTTGATCTTCAAGTCATGAGGTCTTCACGATTGCAGCATCAGCATGAAAGCTTGGACAAGATATTCTGGATGCCGCGGTGCACATTGGTGTTCGCTGTATGGCCATACAAGGCCAGGTGGTACGTAAGGCTGTTTCTGAAAATCCTCGGTTTCTTGCTGACCGCAGTCTAACAAGCTCAAGCCTCTTACTGCGTCCGCCCGAAAGACCTGTGGCTTCTCCGGGTGTTGCCTGAACGTCCCGGCCTTTCGGCCTTCCTGAACCGTCCCCCAACATCCAAAACAGGACATAAAGGGATTGGTGCCTCAAACTCCAAGTCATTTTCCGGTCATTGTGCCTGATTGAGCCCGGCAATGACTTGGTGTCTCAACATGCTGGATGGATGCCCAAGGCCTCTTAACTGTGGAGATGTGGAGGTTTTCTCAAATGATGGGGGGCATCATTTGAAACCAGAGCAGATTCCGCTTGTACTCCTACTGTATTGCTGATGCTTCAAGGACCATCCTTGTTGTTGCGGACCTGCCATTTTCTAAGGCATGATACACAACGCTGACAAAACTACCTGAGCGCCCTTTTCAAGGTTGAGCATCGTTGGTGAGTGGATAGCTCAACTCCCCAAGTCTCGTTGAGAGAAGGCCACTGAAATGCATCCCCTTCGCGTTTTTCTTTTGCAGCAATGTTTAGAATTCCTACACCCTGAGCACTACCCTTAGCCTAGCAACCATCCCCTCACACTTGGTCAATCGTGCTTGATCGTATTTCTATGAACGAAATGTAGCAGTTGACCAACCAAACCGGTTGCTAAACCTCTGATCTCATATCCTGGCAAGCTATTGACTGCTGGCTTAGCCGACCAGAAGGGGGGCAGGAACTCGGATTCTTTGTCACATTGGTCCGTATGTTTTTTGGATGCTCTGAGGTGATTTTGACAAGCGGGCACTTTTCGCGACAAAATGTAGCAATCTCATGCGTTGTGGCTACGCATGGCTACACCAGGTCGCACAGAAACCCCTGCTAACTACAAAACATCGCCGTCATGAATCGCGGAGTGGAGAACGCAGTCTGTTTCATACGGTAACAGCCATGTCAGTCTTCGGTCTGTGCCGGAAATTGCAGAATTCGTGAGCGTCATGGAGCGTGTGTGTTTACCAATATGGCCGCGCTGAGCACTGGCGTCTGGGAGCAAGGCAAAACTGCTCAACATCTGACCATAGTGACCACCGCCAAACTTGCAATCACATTCACGAGAATGGGAGCGCCATGGAAATCGACTCTGCCAAGGAGCCGTCAGAATTGACAATCCCTACTAACTGGTCCGTGAGCTTCTCGCTTGATCTTCAAGTAATGAAGTCTTCACGTTTGCAGCGACAGCATGAAAGCTTGGACAAGATATTCTGGATGCCGCGGTGCACATTGGTGTTCGCTGTATGACCATACAAGGCCAGGTGGTACGTAAGGCTGCTTCTGAAAATCCTCGGTTTCTTGCTGACCGCAGTCTAACAAGCTCAAGCCTCTTACTGCGTCCGCCCGAAAGACCTGTGGCTTCTCCGGGTGTTGCCTGAACGTCCCGGCCTTTCGGCCTTCCTGAACCGACCCCCAACATCCAAATCAGGACATAAAGGGATTGGTGCCTCAAACTCCAAGTGAGTTTTCCGGTCATTGTGCCTGTGATAGGTAAAGAGTATGTTGATTGAGCCCGGTAATGACTTGGTGTCTCAACATGCTGGATGCCCAAGGCCTCTTAACTGTGGAGATGTGGAGGATTTCTCAAATGATGGGGGGCATCATTTGAAACCAGAACAGATTCTGGATGTACTGCTACTGTATTGCGGATGCTTCAAGGACCATCCTTGTTGTTGCCGACCTGCCATTTTCCCAAGGCATGACAGACAACGCTTCTATAGGTGCCACGAGGGTGACCATGACAAAACTACCTGAGTGCCCTTTTCAAGGTATGAGCATCGTTGGTGAGTGGATAGCTCAACTCCCCAAGTCTCGTTGAGAGAAGGCTACTGAAATGCAACCCCTTCGCGTTTTTCTTTTGCAACTATTTTTAGAATTCCTACACCCTGAGCACTACCCTTAGCCTAGCAACCATCCCCTCACACTTGGTCAATCGTGTTTCATCGTATTCCTATGAACGAAATGTGGCAGTTGACCAACCAAACCGGTTGCTAAACCTCTGATCTCATATCTGTTCCAAGCTAGTGACTGCCGGCTTAGCCGACCAGAAGGGGCAGGAACTCGAATTCTTTGTCACATTGGTCCGTGAAAACATGTTTCAAATGCTTTTTGGATGCTCTGAGGTGATTTTGACAAGCGGGTACTTTTCGCGACAAAATGTAGCAATCTCATGCGTTGTGGCTACGCATGGCTACACCAGGTCGCACAGAAACCCCTGCTAACTACAAAACATCGCCGGTATGAATCGTGGAGTGGAGAACACCGTCTGTTTCATACGGCATGAAGCATGTCAGTCTCCGGTCTGCGCCGGAAATTGCAGAAGTCGTGCGCGTCATTGAGCATGTGTTTGCCAATGTGGCCGAGCACTGGCACTCTGAAAAGGAGCAAGGCAAAGCTGCTCAACATCTGACCATAGTGACCACAGCCAAGTAATGACACACACACATATAACTTATAATATCTAGTGATTAAACATTACTAAAGAAACAATAAGAAACACGTACTGAAACACGTTGTTACCGTAACCCTAGCCAAAGCAATGCTAAATGATGGTCAATCGGGTTCTGCACATCCCAACGGCCAACAACCAGGATGCTTTGATGCATCGAGCTGGGCAGCAGCGGTTGCACTGAACTCTTGGGCTGCCTTGGCCACGGGGCCCGGCAGTACGGGCTGGGCCACGCCCCACGGCACGCGGCGCGGCTTGGAGGATTCAAGGTCATCGATTGGGGAAACGCGCACCACGTGAGCATGGATCTAATCAGCCGAGCATTCTTAGGAACGGATGGAAGTCTTCTTGGGGGGAATGTCCGCTCTACGCGGTTGTGCGAGCCAGGTTGCAAAAGGCCCTCCTGTTTGGCAAGGCGCGGCGTTGCCAAATGCGCAACCTTAGCAGGCAACTTTCCAAGCTGCTATGAGGCTGCTGTAAAACTCAGGGCTACATTCAGCAAATACGTGGTCAACCAAAAACAGTAGGATTGAACTGAGTTTATAATCAGTCAGCAAGCAAGCGGAATCCCTGTCACTTGCATACATGACTTCATCAACATGACAACATTGCAAACATCTCTACTTCCGCTTGCTATGAGCCTGCCATCACATCTGTACAGCTGTCTGTCATGAACGGCAACATGAGTTCTCAAATGTCTTTTTGCCTTATGTCGGTTGCATGGTTTGAGTCTTGAGGAACCAAAAGCAAGCAATCGCAGGGTGGGGCAGGGTCACTTGTTTCCAACAGCCTTGAAGGCCACGATCAAACCCACTATCAAACCCTTATCGGAAGCCAAGTGAAGCCATCATCTTCCAAATCCTTTTAAGCTGCCCCACCCTGAAGAAACAAATATAGGAAAAGCCATGCGTTGAAAATCTGGTCCCCGTGCCACAATCGATATGCCCTGCATATAGCGCTGTCTCAAACTGGCGAGGAGCATCCGGAGCTTTGAGCTTCGGTGTCCGAAATGTGAGCGTGCATTTTCAGAGGGAGACTGAAACCAATAGGTGCCGACTGGTCCATTTTCCTTCCAAGGGGGTACTGCTCCCTATTTGAGCCACCCAGTCGACTGGTCTCATCTCATCACTACTTCTTGAAGGTCCTGGACATCCGCACGGAGTTGCGCTGCCCCTCCGGAAGCTGTGCCACCTTGGCTCCCAACTCGGCTCCACCTGCTTGTGCCAACATGTACGAGGGCCGCAGGTTGTTGGACATGCGCCGGCTGTTGCGATCCTTGGCCTGCAAGGCAGGGTTGCGGTCAATGGTGGCAGGCTTGTACTTGTCCCAAAGCCTTCCAGCTGTCATCTTCACCAGGTCCAAGAAAAGCAACCATGCGATGTCATAGAGCCACACCTTGGCCACATCAGAGGGGCTCAACTTGTCCACCAGCCCTGTTGGTGCCCACAAGCACCAAATGTTGATCAGCACCTGTCCCAAGGCTGTGGAAAAGGTCAACTGCCATGCTGGCATGGTGGAGAAGAAAAAGCCCACAGTACGGGCGGAGAAGATCAAAATTGCTGAGGAGTTGGAGATCTGCAGGAAGATCGTGGTCTCCATGTACTTGTTCATCTCATTCCCGGCCATTTCGCTGCTCATGCTTTCGAAGTAGCCATCTCCATAGGTGTCCGAGAGGAAGAGGTGGCCATAGGACACCAGCAACATCGTCTGGATAAACATCAGAATGCCCATGGAATAGCTTTGCAAGAGCAATCCCAAGACTGTGGGTGTCTCAGGCTTTGCGCCAGCCACTTGATGGTCGTAAGCGATGGTGACGATCTGCAGGTCGTGGAACAGGGCCAACAGAATGATGTACAGCGCCTTGAAGCGGAGGTTGTAGAAAATGGCGAGGGCGGCCAAGAAGAAGACCACCTGCACCGTGATGCAAATGCGGTAGATCACGTAGGACTTCAGGCGCTTGAAGATACGCCGAGAGATCTGAATGGCGGTGTAAATGGGGGAGAGGCCATCCTTGGTCAAAACAATGTCACCAGCTGACTTGGCTGCATCTGTGGCACCGTGCACGGCGATACCAATCTGTGCTTTGGCCAAGGCAGGAGCATCATTCACACCATCACCTGTCATGCCAACCACTAAGCCCTTGTCTTGAAGCACCTGCACCACCTCGTGCTTGTCCAGTGGCTTCACCTTCGCAAAGCCGTCCGCCTGCATGACGATGAGATCACGAGCATCACTGGGTGGCTGTAAGCAATCGGGCGTCCGGATATCCGTGCCCAAATCAATCTGGCGGGCCAACTCCTTTCCGATGTTGTGATGATCTCCGGTAATCATCTTCACTGCCACCTGTGCTTCTTTGATCTTTCGAATGGTTTCCTTGGTGTCATGTCTTGGGGGATCCATAATGGGCAAAATGCCGATGAACTGCATAGGGCCACCATTCTTGGACACTCCCACGCCCAGGGTCTTGAAGCCTGAGACGCCCAAATCCGCATCAGCCTTGTGCGCCTGCTTGGACATTTCCTCATAGTTGTCCACAGTCCACTGCTTTCCCTCATCATCGGGGTTTGTCTTCAAGATCACATCCACCATGCCTTTGGAGCAGAACCATTTTGTTCCATCCTTTGCCGTGACTGCTACGCAGGTACGCTTCACGATCGGATTGAAGCCCATAAAGCCCTCAGGATCCAAAGTGTAGGATTGCTTTCTCTTATCCACAGCATCATCCACATTGGTGAGCCCCTTGCTTTTGGCATAGGCACGCAGCACTGCAGAGTCAATGGGGTCATCCTTGTTGGCTTCATTGGATGCCAGGGAGGCAAACTCCAGGACCTGCTCAGCAGAGAAACCGTTGTAGGCCTTGGCCGTCTCATCGTAGTAGACCGTCATCTGGGCTGTGGTGAGTGTGCCCGTCTTGTCGGAACATAAGACCTTCATTGAAGCAATCTCCTCCAACGCAGTCAAGTGAGTTACAATGCCACCTTCATCCGACATTTCCTTGGCACCAATGGACAAGGTGACTTTCATCACCATGGGGAGGGCCACGGGCACGGAAGCAATGACCAAGGACAGCGACATCTCCAAGACTTCCGTGATCTCAACCCCCTGGACGACGTACATGAAGTAAAATAGGAAGGTCACCACCACAACAGTGATGAGAATCAACACTTGTGCGGCTTCAATAATCTTTCCCTCAAAAACACCGATGTCCTTGCCACTGGCCTCTTGAATGGCCTTGGCCGCCTCTCCAATCATGGTGTTCACGCCGGTGTGGCTGACCACGGCTTGGCACTCACCCACTTTCAGGATGGATCCGGACCACATCTGACGCCCCGAGAAGGGCTTCCCAGAATCATCCTTGCGCGGGACCTTCACCGGCAAGGACTCGCCCGTCAAGGCCGCTTCATCCACCTGGCAGGGATCGCCTTCCACCCAGTAGCAGTCCGCCGGCACGATGTCGCCGCCGCGCATAAAGAGCACATCGCCGGGCACCACCTGGCGATAGAAGGTGGGAGGCTGGAACGATCAGGCTCGGACTGTCATAGTGTGCCAAACATGAGTGAATAAAAAAACACCTGACCACTCTGAGTTCACCGAAGGAACAAACAAGTTTTCACATGGGCCCTCAAACCATGGTGCTTTTGGCAGCCTCTATTAGGTTGGAGGCCATCGCTATTAGGTTGCAGGCCATCGCTAGTAGGTTGGAGGCTGTTGACCTTTTTTTCTGCGGGCACCTGCACGACGGGGATGCTATCGAACTTGCCATTGCGCTTCACCGGCATCTTCTTCTCCAAGCCGGCCTTCAAAGCATCCACGGAGGCTTGGGCGCTCTTCTCTTCGAAGAATCCCAAGGTGCCGTTGGTCATCAACAAAACCATGATGATGGTGAAGTCTGGCCAGTTGTGAATCAAGAAGCAAAGCAAGGCCGCGCATTCGATCATGATTTGCATGGGCCCTGTGAACTGCTTCAAGAACATCTTCCACAAAGGTTCTTTCTCCTCAGGCACTTCATTCAAGCCGTACTTCTTCACCAGCTCGGCTACCTCTGCATCCGTGAGGCCTTTCAGAAGGCCTTCCTTGTCACTGTCAAGCTTGGAGAGCGCAAAGGGCGGAGGCAGGGGCCCCGCTGGCGCATCGCCCATCTGCTGATAGTCACCCATGATTGCTGAGGAGGGTGTGGACAGTTCTGACTCCCTATTTTATGCTGCAAGAGCCGGCGGCCAGTGTTTCAAAAAGAACACACTCACGGAAAGATTCGACACATTTGGAGACTCAACTCATACAAAAGACTTGGTCTCCTGATTACATAAATCTGGAGACCTTCAACGCATTGGACACATTTGTCCTCATCAGTCCAGCTATGCAAATCCACTTGTACTCCTCGTTTGGCCGAAGAGCCTCGGTGGAGATCGACGCAGAGGGCCTCGACATCGCCGAGGAGATGGACGGAGAGGCGGCCGCGCCGCTGTAAGGCATGAGGACTCGCCGTGTGGGGTGAGGCGTCTCCTGTGCCATGTCTTCTGAACCTGTCGCATGCCAGGTCCGAAAAACAAACAGTTGCAAAGTTTATCTTTTTGAGAAGCGGTAGCTTGACGTAGTGCAACTGGTAAAGTGCATTGGAAGAAAAACATAGAAACAAGTGGAAAAAACAACTAAACTGCAAAACCACACACAGGGGTGATCATAGCTTTGTAAAACCCCACCGTGGAGAGAAGCATGTGACACTCCGAAGTCTGACTTGTCTTGCCACAGCCTATGCCAGACACCGGCTCGGCCACTACAGCCACCGCGCGCTCGATGAGGGCGTCGCACAGTGGTTCGTCTCGCTCGGCGGCGAGGGCGTTGGCCAGGAGCAAACAACCTGGAGCAGCTTGGAGCAAGCAGAATCTGGGGGGTGGGGGGGTGTGACCCACAGGTAGGTTGTTTCACCTCAGGTGAACCTCAGGTTGTTTCACCAGCACTTCCCCACAATAAAAGGGTGTTGGTTCTTTTTCTTCAGCCTGTTGAAGCATGTTTTCATATTTTTTATCTGGTCGCTCTAGGATTGTCGGGTCGCATCAGCCAGGTCGACTTAAGATGGTCAGATGGTCAATTCGAGCAGTCGACGACCCCAGTCGGTGACCCCAGGAAATCCATTCGACACATGCCAACGGGCTGATATGTCAACTGCAAAAACCTTCAAAGAAAGATTGAAGTGGCTTTCCTACCCTCCCGAGTCAGCTATCCAGGACCCTGACGTCCTGGCCCCCTGGAAGCTTGCTTCCTCTACCAACCAGTGGTTTTCAGGTTCGTCTTTAGGGGGTAACCTTCAAAACCCTGTGACACTTGCAGGGTGGAATTGAACCACCCAATCCTGCTGCTTACACTGGAACATCAGGAAGTGGACGCAACAGCAAAAAGAAGGGAAAAGGTGACAAGAAAAGAACACGCTACTTACAATGCAATATACACAATAAACGTTACTTACAGTGCAAAACTATATCATCCACTGTGCTTTTCATCCATACACCATCCACTGGTATCCACTAGTCACGTCTACCGCGTTCCTCCCACCATCTTCAGACGGACGCCCGGGTGACTCTTGATCTGGCGTCCGTTCAAGGTATGCCGAGCGAGCCGTGAAGGGTCCACAGAGCCATGGGGCACTTTCCTCGGTCGAAACCGTCAGAGTCGAAAGTGAAAGGCGGATGAGGGGACGACGAGTCGAAAGGCCCAGTCAAGAATGGGCCGGGTACTGGGTTTTGGAGGATGGCTGGGGTTTTGGATGGATTTTGGATGATTCCTGGTGTCGTGGACCAAATCGTTTGGCCGAATGGCGTGACATCGAAAGAACCATAGCAGGGACATCCTCCCGATGAGGCGTGCTAGCAGCTAGCGGCTAGTAGAACATATCAATCGTCACGTCCGCGGGCGGCCGCGCCATCGCGTCCCCTCGCCGAAGCGTCTGAAGCAGGTGGCGCCACACCGACTCGCGCCCCGCTCGCGCCAAGGGCTCGTAGTGCAAGGCCACGGTGATACGAGACCGCACCTCAGAGAGGGGTCGAAGACCCTAACCGATGGCGAGAATAAGCCTTCCCCATCTTCAGGCAAGAAACGAATATACAAAAGGCACAATTCAAAATGAATTAGCAATTCGTGAACGCCATGGAAGTTGCAAACAGGATCGAAGATTTGGAGCTGTAGTGGGATGAAAAAACATCGACACTGTGTGAAGCTGCGATGCAGCTTGGAAGAAAGCCCCGCAAAGAATGCCACACTCACTGTTGATGTGCAGGGTTAGGATTGATACATCTACGAAGTTCTTTTGGCATGGCTTAAGGTACATTAGGAAAAACACCACTCGACACACACGCTGGACATAGGACTATAAAGACTATCAGTCACTCAAACAAATGCCCGAGATGCTGCAGGGTCAATGTTGCTGGCACGGTTGGTGGTGAGGAACAGGATGCCTTTGACAGGCCGTGACGACAATGCTGCTTTTTGGGCAACACTTTGGCATGTAGACCGTGCCAAGACGAGAATTCCTTGCCCAAATCTGTGCGAACGAGCTTTGCTTTCCAGGAGTTGTTCAAATGCATGTGCTTCAACTTGCACTTTAAGCGTGCTCTAGGCAGAATACATGGGTTTTGCGCAGTTTTCACGCGAGCGAACAAGCACTTGCAATCCAGTTTTCAGCCCAGAACAAAAACCATCCAACGCGGTTGAAAGCCCATCAGCATGGAGCTGTCTAACTCAGTCTGACAATCTGAAGAGCGTGGCACAGTGCAATGGAATGAAAGGAAACCTAGGGAAAATCCGCCATGGGCCATACCTAGTAGCCAAGGTCCATGGGGTCCATGCCAATTTACATAGAGCATGCGCAGCCAACATTAGCCAACCATCTGGCGTAGCTTCATCTCCTTACAAAAGAAGGTACAGTAGTGGTCATTATTGTTTTAATTCTCTTGGCTTTCTAGAATTGAAACATTGCCGCTTGTTCCAACATGTTCCACCATGTTCCACTGGTTTTCCTCCGCAAAGCCACCTTGATGATACTCCAGCAGTCGAAGCATGACACACACCAAAGCATTGCGCTGCAGTTCTGCAGTGCTTCGAGCTTCAAGGAAAATGTCCTGGGCTGTCCGGCGGGGTTGTGCAACTGGGCCAAGACGGTACAGGTAATTATGCACAAAATGTGCAAGTAGCTTTTGACCACTGAGAACGTCCTGCTTCTGTCTTGTTACACTGCAACCGGTACTGACGCACTTCTGCTGGTGGCTTTTCTGAACAAACTAGCTGAAGAAGAGGCCTCTAGGAGGCCCGTTCGCGCCCATTAGGCCCTGTTAGGCTGCCACTTCTGTCAAGCGTCTGCCTCATCAATAAGAGTCAGCGCGTTCCATTCACTGCAAAGGTGTAAGACCTGTTCGGCTCCCTCTCTCTCTTTCTCCCCTTCGGAGAATGCTCCTGTTCTGCCTTGACAACCACACATCCAAATCATTTTCAAAAGATGTGTTAATTCAAAAGTTGCATGCCCGTGCAGAATCACAATGTAGACAGGTGATCAATAAAGCAACCCCCCATTCGGATGGTTCAAACTTCATCTTTGGGGGGCTTTAGTATCTTTATACAGAACCATCAACTTGAGTTGCATGCATTTGCACTTCTTGCGTCAGAACCGATCCAGCCCAACCTGTGACAAGTTCTGCTCCACTTCCTGCGCGCTGATGCCCAAATCACCGGCGGTCACCACCTCGCGGAACCGAAGATCCACATGGGGACCCATATGGAAGGTCCAAGGGCCCAAGTGAAATAGATATGTATATATGTTAATGTATTTGTTATACATATACAATAAAGCAATATATATATATATAATTAGTCAATTAGTCACATAGTCACTCAACACATGTGAATTAACAGTTAACAAGTGGTGAGAGAATGTGAAACATACTGTGTTTGTTACTGAAGTTTGTGGTTCAACGGCTAACTTGGGATTCTGTCCTTTGATCATGACACCGAACTCCGTCATCAAAAGACACCAACATCATCAACATCAGTTGTGAACATGGTGTTGTGAAGTCTGATGTTGCTGGACCTGCCATGCTGCTGAAATGGTGCAGTCAGGTGGGTATCTCATGAGAAATCTCGCTCGCATCCCCACAGACATCTGCCTCTCACATTTCCACTTGTTGTGACTGAAAGGTGCACAGACCCCCAAATAGATCGAAAAGCAAATCCCGACTAAATCATGTATTGGTTTCCCGTGCCACGAGGCACCTTGGGGGGTCAACTTCCCACCCTTTCCGCTCTTCACCTCGAAGGCACATATAAAGGCATGTGAAGCATCTCGGCGATCGCTTCAGCTGTGAGGGTCTTCCCGCTGCCCGGAGGGCCATAGAGCAGAAAAATGGTGTTGTCCCCCTGGTCGGCTGCGGGCGGTGGAACACACGGCGTGTACGCCACACGTGCTGTGTACCGCCAGCGGGATCAGCCGTCTACCGCCGGGGGGGTCGACAAGGCGGGTCATGGGCGGTCGACGAACTGCAACACAGCACGGCTGACCTCTCGACATCTGTAGTGCAAGAAGCGGGGATTCCGTTGTAAAGTGGAGGCAGTCGTGACCCATGATATTTCCAATGGTGCCAGACCCAATTGATGGAAACGATTCTAGCTGCCGAAGGCATTGAAGAACTTGAAGGACACCTGAACATCGCTCAACAAACCCTCCCTCACTTTGTCCAAATGGCCCACTGCACATCTTAGGTGGATCCTTCATGGCTCTTGCTGGGCCTTCCCTGCGATGAAGTCCAGGCCGCTGCAGCTGGCGTGGCGGACAGCGGACCTTGAGGCCAGGTCGGCTCAGTGGACGAATCGGTTCAGCATGGTTCAGCGGTCAAGGGTCATTCCACTGGTCATTCCAAGGGTCATTCCATGGGCCTTTCGAATCAGAAAACGTGGGTTGTATGGGCGACAGTTACTAGTAGTTTCTTGTTACTAGTAGCGATGCACCTGTTACTACTAGCGAGGCACCTATTATTACTATAAGGCAGAATCGACACCTGGGCGACATATCTTCAAACATGCGAACATCGGTGCGAAACATCGGTGTCTGAATGACACATATGACACCAAAGCTGCTTGGGCCGCTGCTTGGGACTTCAACTTCTCGTCCCGCCGGTCCCGCGTTCCGGCTCCTGGTCCCAGTGGCCTTATGATCTCCTTGGTGTCGCCGGGCAGAACCAGCTGTTCGAAGGCATCGCTCTTAAACTCGATGGGCGCCGTTTCGGCCACCAAGACCTCCCGAGAAGCGACGACTCCGACTCGTTTGAGACCATGTGTTGCTTCCAGATGCGCAAGGCCGGAAATCACTGGGCCACATGGCCGGACGCTTTTTCGGAAACCCTACTTGTCTGAAGGCTCTTCACCCTTCCCTGTGTTTGAACGACACGAGACTCGGTCTCAGCATGATGGCCAGTGCTGCGACAATGAGTCTCATGGACTAGAGCAATACCAATTGTTGATCCAATTTGCATGTTAAAGCGCAAGGAAGATACAGTAAGTACCTTATACACGGATTAACATGCAATCACTCCTTCATGGTTGTTTCAAACATTCCAGAACCCCCGCATACAGGCCGTCGGCTCCCTGTCGCCTGTCCCCAGCATTTGGCCGTAAAGCTGAAACCGACCAAGGCCGGCCACGACATCCAAAGCCTGAATCGCAGGACGAGTCGGTGAGCGGAACATGAAGGCTGAGAGAATCGGACGTCCCAATGAGGCACCTTTGACAGTTGTTCCGGTGGGGCCATAGGTGCCTTGAAACACAACAAATCTCACTTCAAAAGCATCATTCTACCCTAGCATCCATCATATCTATTCATATCTCATGTTGTCTGATCATGTCTTATCTAGGCAAGTTGTCCGCTTCATTGTCTGAAAGTGTCATCGAATGTCGACCCATGGGTTGCCACCCATCACCAAGGCACTCTTCGGTCGACGGCTCTGCGACCAGCCGCAAACTGTCGGTGCCGTGCTTCCTCAAGATCGACGGGATGTCCATCACAGCTGCGAACATCAGTGGAATATTGTACTGCTGTATATATGTATATAGTTATAGTCTAGTTTTTTGTTTTACATATCATATACAATCTCTCTCTGTAAATATATATATATATATATTTCGCTTTTTTAATAAGAGCACCCTGTAACAGGTCGTTAGTTTAGGGTTGTTAAGCCCTAACAGGTCTCAATTGGGGACCTGTCGTTCCGGATCCTGGTATGTCTTACATGATTTTCATGTTGCACACATCATCCACAAATGGACCAGTGGGCGGTGGGTTGCTCTTTGTTTTGCTCCACCGGAGCCGTGGACAGCCATCGTTTCCGCCTGACTACCAACTTTGATTCCATTCAGAGGTACCACCACGGTACAGTCTTCATCAGGCAAAGCTTCTGTTGCAGCTTGTAGGCTTTCACTGCATGCTGCAAAGCTAGCGAGCAATTGTCACCCCCTCTGGCTGCATGATGGCCGTACTCCTTGAAGGTGCACCCGCGAAACCCGCAAAACGTGCGGCACACCCGGTGGATCACCGAAGCGAAGCGAACGGTGTGGCGAACGGAGAGTGCCCAAATCTGGTCATCAGAGTCATCCTGTTCGTTCCTGGTCATCAAAGGCCCATGGATGCCCACAGCATTGCGAGATGCAATGATTTCAATGTTCAAACATAAATAGAGGTAGCTACATGAGAGGCCCCCATGCTGCATCCAGTTGCTGCGCTCAGAGTCACTAGAGACCAATCAGCGCCTGCAGTTGTGGTAGCCTCTTCTAGTAAGTTACTAGATGTTCCCATGGTTGCGCAACTGCTGGTTTTCCCAAAAGACTCACTTGTAGACCTCCTTGCTCGCTTACTCAAGTTCCAGCTAATTGCAGGTACAAGGAGCCTGGACCAGTCTACCCACAGCGAAACTCTGATTCCTAGCTTAGGAATGTGAATCAAACTTGCATGTAGTAACAAGGACATTACGACTAGTACTGTAGCAAGGGCATTACTACAGAGTAGCAAGAAGATTCGTTCGCTCAGTGCAGTGTCTGTCACGCCCCGGGCCGCCCGGCCTGGCCCTTCTGCGTGTCCAGCATGACTCGTCCATCTGACAAGGCAGCATGTTTTGTGCGGCCATGGGAATAGAAGGATCCACGTGCGTAGTGCCTCGGGAGCCACAGCTGGAGAGATTTTTGTATATACCTTGATTCTTGATCTTGACTTTTTAAATCTTTGTGCACAAGTGCTGGAGGTAGATTGTTGAATTTGATCGACCACAAGCCCCACAGAAACTCATGCAACAAGTGAGAAGGTCGAGGCATCAGTCAGGAGCACCTTCTTTTCGGTCCGTTACCAAAGTCCCCTTGCTACAACTAACTATCTTTAACTCACGGAAAATCAGGTTGAAATCCTGTGTCAACCAATTGACACTCTCCGAAACCGGTTGACTGATGTTGACTGAAGGAGCGAGTCAATGAGTCTACTCAACCCAAGCTTCGACTGCTGTGATCCCTTCAATCAACCACCGGGGCCCTGCACAAGTTACGTTTGATAGCTTATGCAATGTATATATTTAGATATATAAATAGAATCATACAGTCATGTGTTCTTAAATTGCGGCTGTGGCTTCTTCAATTTAACCTACGAATGCCCACTGTCAACAAACATTCGCTGGCTCAGGCGCACGTAGGGCATCCGGGTAGCAGCTTCCAGGTACTTCTCACCACGCTTCTTCAACCGTTCCATCATGTCCTTGGATATTGGGTGCGTTGCTGTTGCAGGACTTCATACAACGGGCCCAACTTCTGGCTAAAGCCCAGCACCACAAAACCTGATGCCCTCTACCACTCTCATTTTGTGGGAGTGTTGGGTGACGAGCTGTCACAACCTCGTCACTCGACCTCGTGAGTCGTCCAAGATCGTCCAAGGCTCAGGGGTCATGAGTTGATAAAGCAAGCTATCCAGGCGCCTGACACCCTGATACCTCAGCACGGCGGACATCTGGCAGAATCGTTGAAACCCCACGCTGGCGGGCGGGCGAAGCTTTACTCCGCACGCGGGCGGACTAGCTTCGGCTGCGATGGCCAGGGACAACAATTGGATTTGCATGCTTTGGGGCATTCTGGTATAGAACATGACCACCATGAGCAATCGCACTTCACTACGGCAGCCGCACACACGACTTAGGCTGGAGCCAAAAGGCGAAGAAAAGGGTTCTTGGAAGTTGATCTTCGCAAAGCTATTTCCCACGGAGGCCAAAAACTCGAACTCCACGTGGAAGGACTTCTCCTGATCCGATGATTCTGGGCCAACCGAACGAGGCAGGCCTGAGTGTCGGGTATTTCTCATGAGAGTTTAGACCGGAAAAAGACAACAGCAAGAAGACTTGGATAGCCTTGGCTTGCGCTTGGTGTCCTTTTCCTTCAACACTCCCAGCGACCAGTACCCCTTCATACTCCCTGGAAAAGGCCGCTGGACTGATAAACCATCAACATGTTGATCATCCTTCGACTTGCGCACTCTCACAGGTCCGACAGCGCTGCAACATCTGCAAACCGCAATGTACCAATGTTGACCAATGTTTGAACCACCATGACTCAATGAAGCTGCGCTGCGCTGCGCTGCAAAAGCGCCATACCTTCTTCATCCTTGCAGGAATGACCCTTTCATCACTCCAGTGGACATCATACTCTTTCCCGGTCTCGCAAGCCGCACCCTTCGGAACTCGACCGGCTCCAGCGACCGGCGACAGCCGGTGATCCAGCGCCAAGGGGCGGGACCGAAGAGGCTGCTTCTCAGCTGATACCAGGACTGCAGGACCGTGAGCCCCAATGGCTCGCTGAGCCCGTCAATGGTCATCCAAACCTGTGGAGATTCGTGGATGGATTGTGGTGGAGCCTTTTTTGGGACGGGCGGCCCGGATGCGGTTCAAAGGGATCAAAGGAGTTTGGGGTATGGGTTTGGTTGGGAGCAGTTGGTTGAAATAGGGTTTGCATGGGTGTGCTGTGATGTTGCACTTGGCCAGTGCATCACAGCATCGTCCGACTAAGCCTCTCTGACAGTTGCCGTTCGCCACTGTGCCTTCTCCCCAGGGTAAAAGACCTCGCCCAAACCGTTGAACTGCACGCGGCCTCGCAAGTGGCACCAAAACAATCCAGACAATAACCATCAATAACCACACTCGATGAGCGGGACGTGGGGAGACCCTCTTGCTGCCCAAGAAAAGGAAGTTGTGAGTTGAACAAGCAGGAAGTCCTCAAAGAGGAGAGTGGAAAACCCTTTCGGTGAAGCTGGAGGTGATGCAACACATGTTGCGAGAACATGCGGGAACTCTGCAAGTCCTTGTGAATCTGAGGAACCAAATCAGCAGCATTCCCATCAGCAGGCAGCGAAACGTCTCAGTCACTGCCAAGCTGCCCAAACTAATATCCTTCCTATGCTCGTCCAAATCCTGGGACATGGTGCAGGGTGTTCAAGCTCAAAACACTTTGTTCTACCAAACACCATCTCCACAGCATTCCGCAGCCTGAAGTCGCACAGCCTCATGACATGACTTGCTTCCCTTCGGCTTTCAATCGGTTCTACGAACGAGTTCGTCCTCGATTTCGCCCTCAAGAGCAGTGATCAAGTCGTCCAAGCCTTCGAGCCTCGCAGGCCTCTCGCCGGCCTGGACTCCTTGGAGTGGATTGAGGAACGGGGCGGATGAGCTTGGGTGGGCCCATGGAGCTTGGGCTCCATACCAGCTGAGTAGAGCTTGGGTGGGCCCATGGAGCTGGTAGAGATCAGCTAAAAATAGATGTTGGATCCTTTTGTTCGTAGAATCGTGCAAGGAGGATGGGGAAGCACGATTTGCAACAGGTCAGAAACCACCAAATGCCACTGCACTGCAGCTAGCTCAGCTCGATGAAAAACATGGGCAAATATCTCCAGCTAGAATTAGCTCACCAACATCTGTGAAATTAGTAATCATGCCCTACTTACTGGCTTCAGCCAGGATCTCAAAAGTCCTCCAATATTACCTCGGTCAAGCTCCAATAATTTGTTTAGCCTGTGCAGGTCCAACATGAGGCGCCACATTCCTATGACCTTAGGCGCCAAAACCAGCCGAGCAGCCACAGGAGGAGCAAATCTCCAGGAACCGCCTGAGTGAGCGGGACCACTTGGCCTCCCTAACAAAATCATATGGACAAATTCTCAGAACCATGGCCCTTAGAGCCTTAGATGGCTGATCTCCAAAGATGTGACGTGTCCAAGGACTACAAGGACCAAGGCAAGCATTGAAAGTAACTCCTTGGATGGCTCCAAGAAGTCCTTCTTTCCCACTCCTGCGCCTTTCTCGCTAGGTCTAGGTTGATGTTTCAGGAGCCAGTATATGGTTGGTGTGATTTGGCGTATTCCCCCTTCAAAGCCCAAGAACTTCAATGAACTAGCACTCGACGGGACGCGACAATGGCGACAATTATGATCTAGAACTATATATATAACATACCCTAGCCAAAAAATGGTTTTGGTATGTGAACACTTTTGTCTTTCATGGTTTTGAGGGCCCCTGGTATATAATATAATATACTAAGAGAATTGCACAGGGACACGGAACCTAATTCTCGAAATCTCATCCTTTGACCCGACCACCGAGGTCCCGCCAGGGCGCTGTCCGTCCACCGACCGCGCAGCACCGTTGAACTGATTCCGCTCGTAACGCAAGGCTCGCAGCCGGCCGAGGTTTAGCAAGGCGTGCTCGATGCGAATGTCCTCCCAGTTTTTTTCATGGACAGGACATCAACTTGGAATATGACACCAAATAAACCTGGAGTCTCTTGTGAACAGGCATTAGCAGATTTCTATATGGATAAAGCATTGATGTAGAAACGCTAACCGACACTAACCCTTTGCTTTCCTTTTACTGCTTTTCACGGCACTAGCAGTCACTAGCATCTTTCAAGTTGCTGATCGGAGACCAGAAAGAACAAACGTCATTGAGGTCATCAAATCCTGAAGAATGCTCGTGTGAGCATGGGCCGTTGTTCACACAATACCATGGCAATTTGGAATTGTAGGACTATTATACTTAACATCGTCGTGACTGCGGATTAAAGTGCAACCTCTACGCTCTAGTCAATTCTTCAGATCTGGCATACAACAGGCCTCAGGTCGTGTACATGTTCGCCAAAAGCAACAGGTCGAAACGAACGCAACGAGCCGTGCTGAGGAAACACCGTGCTCGCCGTTTGGCCGGGGGCACCTCCATAGGCCCAAACAAATCGCCAGCATCGACCCCAAACAGTTTCAGCGCATGATTTTTTGTGGCCAGTGTCAATTTTCCCTTAGAAAGAACCCCAACAGTGTTTACTGTTGAATGAACATGCAAACAAAATCACTCCTCCTCATCTACATGCATTCATTCAATAAGTCGAGTCCTACATGGGTCACATGATCAAACAATGGTGAGACCGGTGATGTCAAGCAATCCCCCCATCTCCGAGCCGTCTCCGAGCCGGTGTGAGACCCTCTGCGCCTTCTGATGCCGTCCGGAATCCGTCAGGTGTCGCACCAGGATGGCCAAATCACGATCGGCCGGGTCGTTAGACATGACAATGACCTGGGACGAGAAGACACGCTTCGACTGCGCTGCGTGTCGGAAATAGAAGGACGCAACTTCCATCAACTTCCACTTCCTCTTTCTGTTTCCTTCTGTTTCTTTCTCTGGCTTCTCCTTTGAGGGCTTCTTCAATTCATCTTCCTTTCTCAAGCTTTCTGACCGACGTCTTCATCAAGCCTCTCAGAGATGTCCAGTAACCCAATGTGATCACATGCTGTACTCATCTGTACTCTCCCGGTCGCATACTCTTACAATCTCTTACAAAAACCCGGGATCTATTGCCTTGATACGCAAAAACGCACGAATCCGAGGCGGGCCGAATTCTCGATCCGATTTCTGCACCTCTCAAGGCCTATCGGCACCCTTTCCACTCCTTCCCGATACCTTTGGCCGACTTCTTTCACTCCCCAGACCATCCAAGAGGTCACCAGGGGGTAGGGAGAACCGCCACCACGCTACAACTGTGGAATCTCCAAACAGGACACCGTGGTGTGCATGGTGTCGGTAAGGGTCCCACCATGCTCGCTCTCATGCTCCCCCCCTCGGGACCTCAGAACATCCCAAGGGACTCCACCCCGGTCCAGGTTGGGGGGTCGCTGGAAGTGGAAGAGCCTCAAGGTCCGGACCTCAGGGGTCTGCCGGTCGATCCGCCGGCCGATCCGGCCGATCAAGAGACGGCCGAGGGTACCGTGTGCTGAGAAGCCCATGCAAGTGGGTGTGGCGTACTAAACGGTTCTGAAGGATTCGAAGGATTTTGTAATGCAAATTGTCAATGAATGGAGGTTCAGGAGAAGCAGGTCTGGACCCTGAGACAGTTGCTCGTGTGGACCTGCCACGTTTGCCCCGAGACTTGCGAAAGTGGTCCCGACTTCTCTGACTGGGGGACAGTCGATTTGGGGAATGGATGGGACTGGTATAGGGCTTGAACATGGCTTGAAGATGCCTCAGAATTAGACATCGGGTTTCGAACGTCTGAATCTTATTTGTGGCATCACCTGCGCAGATCATCAGCTCATTTAGAAACAACATTCGCATCAACAAATAGTCTGATTGGTTTCAACTCACGTGAAAAAACATGAGCCAGTGTGTTGAATCCTCCCATGAACATTAGACATCTCGGAAACCAGCATGATCTTTCTTAGTCCTCTTATCATCTTATGTCCTTTTTTTCGGTCTTGCTTCCACCTTTGTCTCCCCCCCTCTCCTTTTCCTTCCGCGGGACGGGTGCCGGAGCATCGGCCGCGTGAGGCGTCACCGGACGCGCTTGTGGCTTCGGCAGTGGAGGTCCCTTCCCTGGACGCGGAACGGCGCGGAACGGTGCCGGAAGTGATTGGGTCGATTCGGACGGACCTCTGGTGAAGGTGCGGTGGATGGAGAGGGTGCCGATGGAGAAGGCGTGCGGGCCAAGGAGGGGCGTGCCATGTTCCGAGATGATTCAGTGGTATTGATTGAAGAATGGACTGCAACAATGGGCCTCGCTGGGCCGCCCGAGACGCTGAATGAAGCAATGATGTAATAAAACCACTCACCTTGGTTTGACGTGCTCCGAGCTGGCACACAGTGTTGCATGCAACCCCGCGCCACTTTCATTGGCTTGACGTGGGGGTGGGCTACTGATTTACAGTGGTTTGAGAGTAGATGGCACAATCACCCAGAGGTGGTTTATATGGACCCCCATCTAAAAGACATGTAGGGGTTTGTGCCATCTACTCTGAAACCACTGTAACTGTAATCCCAAAAACCTGTTCAGATCAGGCGGCTCTTCGAGATTCCTCTCCAGCCGAGGACCTGACCCTTTCCTTTGCGCTGCGATTCCTCGGCGTGGGGTGATTCGGCGGCCTGGCTGCGATTCGGTGCAAGTTTGCATATTCCAAGCCTTTATTGTGAAAGACTTTGCTATACTTGGCTAGCTTCAACATACCGTCCTGTCTCGACGTGACTGTAGTGGTCGACCGAGAATGCTGAAGAGCAAAAGTCTTCATGTTGCGCAATCATCGATGTGACTTGACATGTAGCACATCGATCGTTAGCGCACAAAGTGCAGGAGGTGGCCTTTATGCAATCTAGCTTCTCAAAGGGTTGCAATCAGGTGGCCTTTATGCAGAAATCCATGGTTGTTGTCTACGAGTTGATAGCGTACTCTCAACTCCTGTGAAAATGCCCACCGATTTGCTCCTCAAATATTTGGCAAGGCTTGTTGTGCTACGAGCTTCCAAATCCCTGACCTGTTGGTTGAACCTGCTCGTGACCTGCTCAAACGCCATGCTTGATTGGAAAGAACCCACTAAAGAACCCCATGTGCATGCCTCTTCAGAATCTTTTGCTTCTGCCACCAGGTCAATCACCTTGGCAGGTCTCTCAGTCGCACTTCTTCCGGCCGTGGGGGCCTCGTGGCCTCCATTGGTTCAATGAGTCACTCAGTCGCCCATGATCCAATGGGTGAGACCCTTCTACTCTGCAGCTGCAAGCTTCACACCAATGCCACGCTGTCGGATTGCTGGACAAAAAGGCAAGGTCGAGCTTCACGAACCACACGCATGTGTCGGTCCCACTGTCGGTCCCTCATGGTCGACCTATTTGTTCCAACCACCTAACTATGACTTTCCCACCGCTTCATTGATGGACCTATGTGGACCTAATTCATTGATGGTCGACCTCTTCCACCGATGTTCTTTCGCCAATGCCTTCTTCGACCAACAACAAGCCCTTGACTTCTTCGCCCCAGCGGCCGCGGATGCCGCGGCCGCATCGCCCGGCGCGTCGTCCGCCATGGCGCGTCGTCGTCCGGCACCGCGCGCGGTGGTGTGAAGGCGACTGGTGGAGAAGGGCTGATGAGATGAAGCTGTGAAACCACTTAAAGACTTAGCAACATGATGAAACCAATAGAAACATGATGAACCATCTACATGTGTCCGGGACCCAACATGACCCAACATGACCCCCACATGGTCAGTTCTCACCTTTTGGACAGGTGAAGCACTCTGTGGGTGACAGAGTGCACCCGAAAGTAGCCGACAGATCCCCTCGTCCATTCTGGATGATCCTGGAGTGTTTGTGCCACCTGTGTCCAGAAACTGTAGCCAACATCTTGAGCATTCTTGAGCCCTTTCACTCATCACAGTGATAGTCTTTAACGATGCATCTTTGATGTTCGTTCTTTGATGTTCGTTTTGATCCAAGCTGCTCCGAGACTCGGCTGTTCCAAATGTAAAAAACAGGGTAGCATGGCGCTCGTCTGTAGCAAGTTGGAGATGTTTTTTGTGATGAGCAGGTGAGCTACTCTCAAGAACACCGTTGACCCATGTTGACCCTGCTCTGAAGATTAAAAAACCATCCAACCCCTTCTGAAGATTCTGGATTGTAGGGGGCTACAGCTATATACGGCTAGCTGGTTCCTGAGCCACATCCACCCCACATCCGTTCGTTCAGCATGAGTTGTCTACTCGCCAGGGTCTATATACCTGTTTTGTTTTTTTTCTCCGGTTCGTTTGGCACGCGGACTCAACAAGCCCAACAAGCAAACCACAAAGCCCAACGGTGGCAGGGGCCACGGCTTCTGGTTGCTTTTTCCTTCAGCCACCAATGGCCTCAACGCTGAATCAAGAGGAGCACTTGACAATTGGAATTCTAAAGGCCAGCACAACAACTAAAACATGCGCCATGCATTTGGGAAGGCCTTTAACCCATCGACTCCCATCGAGTATAAGTCTTATATAGTCACTGGTCATTGTCAGTGCCTTAACTCTGCCATCGCTGAGCAATCCATCTGACTTCTCTGGGCACAAGCAAGTTGCCAGGAGCAGGGAGACTAAACTTCAACTCCCTTCATGCAATAAAACACACCAATATGAGTAGAGTTTCTGGCACCCTCGGGTGCTACCAACCTGGCTTCTTCTCGGCACCCAAAACATCCAAACTCTCTAGGTGCCCCTGCAGCACACAGGCACGGTCACGGCCATGATAGGGATCGAACTGGAGCGCGGACTTCTCTAAGCCTTAATCGGACCAAATCGACCAAGGTATGTCCGACCTGGGGCAGCTCTGGGTAGTTCTTCCGAAACGACCAAGATGAGGGCTTACATGGGTGTGACCCCAGCACTGACAGAATGCGTGCCCAAATCTACGACCATGGGCAGGACAAAGATGAGTGGGGCAACTCTGCAAGGACTTGATTCAAACCTGTACAACTCCACTGTCTGACATATACTCACCTCATTGTCCTTGTTGGCTTAACAAAGCTCTGAAAAGTGACCAAATTGGGCCAAAGGACGCAAGGCATGTCGCTTGAACTGCACGTCATCGATCATCTCACTCTTTGCTGCCTGCGGTGGATGGGCATGGATGGGCACTCATCCCGGCACGTTCTCTCGTTCGTGGCGACTGAGTGCGGCCTTCGTCTTCGTCCCCCTAAAGAAGCCTCAAGACTGAAATACTGATCGATCCGGATCGATCGATGAGGATTTCCCTACTTGTTCCTTCTGGGAATGGCCTGCAAAGCCTCCTGTAGCTCAGTCCCAGCATCGATGTAGGCACCTCAGGTCAAGCGCTGCATTGGGAACTAACACCCTAGACAGTTGGCGATGGTGTGGTCAGCCCCAGCCTTTCACAGAAAGGCAAGCCAGCCACAAGCCTGCCACAGATTGACAAGGCAACCTGGATCCCAAACTTGTAAATATATACGGCAATATATAGTCCACCCTTCAACCACTAGCAAAATAAACTATACCAAACGGAACCCAACCATCCAAGGCACTCAGCATTTTGTGGCCCTGCTCAAGTACACACCTTAGCAAAACTGCTCCATCTTTGCACATGAGCATTTTGCATGATTCATTCATGCTTTTCATCTAGGATGACCGGGTGGCTCTCTCTATCGCCCCTTCCAAAAGTTCTTGGATTCAAGATGATTCGATCTTTCACATCTGAACAAATGGCAGTCTCTCCATCTAAGTCCTGGGCCGTTCCTGCAGGAGTGCCACTTGAAAGTCATCCTGTGAGCCACCGACTGACTCTCCATGACGGTCCACCCCAAACCATCAACGCCGATCTTCCTGTTCCAAAACAGGGCCTTACTAGATCTGGACCCGATGAAGGTACAAATGGAATCAGCGACGCTAACCCGAACCAAACATCTTCAATCGTTTCTCCCTTCCACGAAGCAACTTTCAGCTACGCTCCTCCGTGTCCCCATCTGGCCGCTGCTCTCGAATCAAAAGCCTGCGCTGTTTGGGCACTTGATCCTTCTTTGGGGGTCTCGCGTGCGCCATCAGCTGCCATGCAACCACTCGACGCAATAGGCAACCACTTGCGTTCAGGGTCTTCTTGGGGAAGCCACATTCTTCGATTCGATGGAGTCTTGGGACTGATCATGATCTGTCTTGGGACTTCGCAGGTGTCCACGTCAAGTGGTGAGTCACGGCCTCCTTTCGCAAATGATTGCAGGTTCTTCCAGCCTTGGCAACTTGGCAGTGTGTTCTTCCAGCTCAGTGGCAACATTGGGGCGGAAAGTGATCATGGACCAGTTGATGTGCACAAACTGGGTGAGTGCATGCAGTGCTTCCCCCCTTCCTGTTTTCCTTGGGTTCCTTACGATTGTTGCTCACGTTCAAGGTGCCCAACTGATTGGGTCACCTCAGCGGGGACGGCGGTTTCAACTCACTGAAAACATACTGGTTTCATACTCGGTATGAGTCAGTGGGCTCAATTATCTCAAGTAAAGGTTGAACATAAATGTATCTGAAACCATCAAAAAGGTGCTCCAAGTCCACTTCCATTATTTTCTGGAATCCACCATGTTCAACTCTAGGCTCGCCGACTTTTCGCTTCATGCTCTCAGTTCCTGGCACCATGCCACCAAGCGGCACAATCCCAACCGGGCGAAAGCGTTCGATGTGTGCTGCTCAAACGCACCAAATATGTCATGTTTCAAATCCGTCCATCCCACTCCTTCTATGCGCGTATGCAGGTGGCGCAGCAGGCTCTCCGTTGCTGCTACCTGGCACAAAATGGACATTGATGGATTTGATTTAAAGGCGTGCTCCTAACAGCAAGGCACCGGCCAATGCATTTTTTAAATTATACGCATACGTGTGAAAAACAAGGAAAACATAGAACTCATAGAACAAAGAAATGCAAATAGTGCTTGTCTACCCGGGTGGCATAGCTCGCACCAGCAATGCCTCTTGATGAAGTTCTGTTTACCTGTGCGGCTTATTGTAACCGTAACCAAAAACACAAAAACACAGAACAAATCAAACACATACCGGGGTTTCAGTCGACTGTCGGTTGACTTTAACCTTCGGCAAGGGAACCGAAAGCCGGGCAGCACGGGCCCTGGTGCCACTGCCCAAATTGGAGTGGTTTTCACAAGGGTCCAAATCACCTGGCCATGTATTCTCAATCCACCAAAACCTCAACCGACAATGGCACACCTTCTTTTGGAGCTTCTGTCGCAAGCCAGTGCCTGGCTTGGTGAAGAGCAAAACCCAATGCGCTGCAGACTGGTGAGCCATCACCCAGTAGAGGTTGAAAGTTAGTAGCTAGCGATGCCAGGAGCCCCTAGTAGCTTCTTGTTCCAAGTAGCAAGGCCAGGAGCCACCACCCAGGAAGGGTGTTCCATGTGTTCCTATCCTCCTTGGGACCTCGGCCTTTGTGAAGCCATCCTGCTGGGCGGGCGCTGGCTCAATGGGTTGAGATGCCCAAAGTTGAGAAAGCACTACCGACACCATGTGACACCACTCTTTCAAAACAAGTGAGACACGCCTTCCAGTCTTCCAAGCTACACCTCTTCTGAACCAGGTGACGCGTCACCTCATGCCTTGGGGTTCGGACCCTATAGCTTTCGCTGAGCCAGCACCGGCCTGCCCAGTCTTTCATGGAAGCCTTGGGTCTGGCCTGGCAGAGGGGACTCCATCGAAGTGGATGGCACCCACCTGTTTGGAATTGGGACAATTATGGTAATTGCTTTCCCAAGTGGCCCTTTTATCAACTTCCATGTTTGGTGAGTCTGGGTGTATCATGAAAACATGAGATCTCGGAGCTCCAAGTTGACAGATCATCTCTTTATCACCAACTAGGATGTAACAGGATCAGTGAATATATATATATATATAAATGTGACAGACTATGTGACAGCTAGCCCCGTCTTCTGTTGCAAACCATCGGGACATCACATAGAAACTGGTAGACCACCGACCCCGGTACGAACAACAATCCTTGTCAGGCAGTTACCCTCACCAACAAAGCAATGTACTTATCTCATCTACCAAAAAATCATGAAATCACTTGCCCACCTCATTTCTGCAATGAATTCAGGAACTCAGGACGCACCGGGCACACACTCGTGGAGCGATCTGAGCCGGGCACTTGAAACTGTTGCTCCACGGCTTTCCGAAGCACACGGGCCTCAAGGGCGAGGCCCGTGGAACCCGCCAAAGCCGCACCCAAAGGGTAGCTGCTGCCAAAGGGTGTGTAGTGAAGCAAGAGTTTCTTGTCAGTGGAACAGAACAGAACAGAACAAAGATGTAAGTGTAAGTGTTTGAATGCCATATCCAGCCCCACGGAAAGGGTGTTGATTAATAATAGCCCCTTAGAGGTCAAGGGGTGTCCATTCACCACCCCTTAGGGGGTCCAGGATCAGGTTCTTTTCTGTTTGCAGTAGTGCTTTAAGCAAAGCATCTTACAATGTCTGAACTGTCTGACCTCTGGGCGCCCAAACCGTGTCTAAACGGAGTCTGATCTGTGCATCTCGCCACCTGGGTCTGGGTGAGCATTCGTTGGATGGCCCACTAGCAGCCACCTGTGGCCTGTGGCCAGACCGGTGAATCGGGTGAATCGGGTGCTCCGACCGTATCACCTGTCCAACCGCGTTTCGACCCTGTCCAACACTGTCCTGACCCTGCCACCGCCTGCGCTTGTGCACTGGCGCCATGTGCCATGCGCCCAGGAGGATGACATGACATGTCCTGATGGCAACCTCAACGGTTTCCTGGGCTTCGAGCGTGACATCGGGCCTGTCGCTATAGTTGGTGCTCCTGCGACGTACAGTACTCGACGCGTCGCACGCGTCCCGCACGCGTCCGAAGAAGACTCCTCCAAACAGGTCTGCGCCCGATTCACAACAGGTGCCCCCCCCAACAAATTAGCTTAGGGCTGGTGAGCCCTTGTTGGAAAAGAAGCATGTCCATGTTGCAAAGAGCTTGGGTGGGTGCCTTCCTTGTTGCCACCAGAAACGGCGAACTTGGTGGCCCTGCGAGGTGGAGGGGTACAAAATGGTACAAAATGGGAAAACATGGGTGTGTATTTGTTTATATGTTAACATATTTTAATGGCCCAATGGGTGTTGGTCTATTTCCTGAAGCTTCTATAGGATTCCGAACGGGGTCTCCCACACACCCACATGGAAAAAGCGATTCACAGGTGTCATTCAGAGGGCTCTATTGTCTCCATTGAATCACTCACATTGTTCTTCAAATGACCTACCTGGCCATGGTCATTGGAAATGGACCTCCCTGTCCCTGCTTCTACAGCCACTGAATTCAACAGAATTTGTAGTAGGTCATCACCCACGACCAACAATCGTAGTTAGTTCTATGCAGCGTCGGCCTCCTCCTGGACATCCCGCGGGGTTGCAGTGATTTATGCCCATGTGCAACCCAACCTACGTACTTCTCGCACCATCACACGGCCAGTTGTTCAGAGGAATTTGCAATATTAAGACTTACAGCAAAGTCCTTTTAGCTTGGCAGGTTTACGAGCTGCCCCAGCCCAGCCGCGCCGCTTGACGGGCTGCTGGGTAGCGGGAATGGCTGGCAATCAGCCATGGCATGATCACTCCCTCTCATCATCAACTGAGTGAGGCTGCTTTGGTATCCTTATACCCCATATTATCGGATGCAAAAAGACTTCTTCTGCAAAGCTGACCGAGCCTGGGTGAATCATTTCCTGTCTTCACCACGATGAATCGGAGGGTGCGCTAAGTTGACTCATCGCCATCTGGAAAATGCAGACTCTGCACCAGCTACCTTCTCCTTGCCCGCTCAAAGTCTACCTGACACTCTTCATGCACGGCCTGGCAACTCCAGTCGACGGCGGTGGTAAAGCTTCTGAGGCCGTTGAACTTTGCACTTCTGGGGGACCTCCCAGTTCAACCCCCTGAGCACACATTGGGCCAGGGGGTCTCCTTCTTGAAGCACACACACCCACATCTACGGCTTGAACACTGGCCATAGTTTCTTTCCAGTCATGTTGCTCCTGTCTGCGTCTAGGGCACCATCTGTTGCACATCAAGTGCGCAAAACACAAGGTCAACGATGGTGGGGTGTGCTAGTTTCACATGAGAAGGTTACGAGAATGCCACCAATCTCTTTAGGTCTGAACTACTCTGATTGTGTTGGATATCTAATGATATCTACTATACTCTGGTGGTGTTTGTTGCTCTACATTTGGCAAAAACACCTTTGATTTCTTCCAAACCACAATATCTGCATGCTTCAATGACAGGTGTGCTTAGGCAGCCCAGCATGTATCACGCCATGCTGGTTGCAGTAGGGAGTTCCTTTTTGTTGAGATTCCACCCGTCTCCCATTTCCACGTGGCACGGAGCGCGCACCTGCTTGACACCATTCTGCCCACCTGAGGCCGACGATTGTGGAGCAAAGCGTTTGGGCCCACATGGCACGCGTTCGCCTCGCTTCATTATGCTCGTTCTCATGCTAAGACTTCCACAATAATGCCATAGAATTCCGCCAATTCAATCATGCTGGAATGAATCCTGCTCCAAATGTTCATCACCTATCTGAACTATCCAAGCTTGCAATGGAGTTCTTGAGTTGATGCTCTTGGGTTCGGCGCGAGGCAATGAATCGATACTGGGCAGTGAACGTCCATACTCGAAGATCCGTCCACTGAACCTTACCGCAATTGGCTGCTGGGCTCTCGTAGTCCGTGGACTTGAATGATCATGACTCTTTGATTTGAATCTCTCAACGCATCGATCTAAGATATCTCAATTGTAATTTACTATCATATTCTTGGGAGGTCCAGTCACAAAGACTGTATCATTAGATATCATTAGTAGTTATATCAAACCTGGACCTCCCAAAAACCGACCCGACTCCCATCCAAATCTCTGGGGTTCCCCTGCCGGCTGGACTTCAGTAAAGGCTCCTTACACTGCGAGCAGCTCGGAGCCCAGCGACGGAGGAAGGCCTCGTGGCACTCCTGGCACGTCGGCGAGGAGCGCAGTACTCGCCGCTGCCGTTCTCCAAAAGCGGGCGACCGAGATTGTGTTTCAAGCCCATTCAACGCAACTTCTTGTCATGAAGCGCCCAGAAAACGCATGATGACCCCTAGCAGCCAGCGAAAAACAAACAACTCTGGCAGCCTCGTGTACTGGGCCAGTGCCTGAAACAAAGCAGGTCTTCCAAATGAATTGCAGAAACACATCTGCCCATGAACAGTTCCAACACCAACCACTCGAAACATCCAACGACCTGACATGACCTGACCGACCTGCCTCACTCGACCGCTCGGTGCACTGGGCTCCCAGCCGTGCGAAGCGGAGAAGTGGCCCTCCTGGGCGAAACGATGCGGAGCGGGTCGTCAGGTGAGTGTCAGGTGAGTCAGAAGCTGTGAGAAGGTGTCAGTGGATGACCAGGTCATGCAGGTACTATGAGCAAATAGGTTGTTGATGGCTAAGAAGCGAGGGTATGCTGGTACACCGTGGCAATGATCTCAAACAGCTTTCTGGGTGCACTGTACAAATGTGAACTTATGTTACTCCATCAGCAAGGCCGCATTTGGTTGGCCATGGAAGTGTGTTTCGCCCTGTCTTCATGCCATGTCTTCCTTCTCCACCGGGCCTGGCCTGATAATTGAAGTGCCTTCCGCTGAAGCCGCCCATGCGGATGACTGGCCTCGCACGGAGCTCGTGAGACGCGCCCAACCACCTCAAAACGTCCTACCGGGATTGCTGAACTGGTGAGGAGGGGAGAGTGGAGATTGCCAAACATATATGGCCTGCGCGTGCTTGACAAAAAGAGAGCATTCTCCACCCCTGTTCCACTTTCCGAGCAAACATTGCTGAGACCAGTGCTGCCGGCAATGAAGGCACGACCTCAACTCGCTGGGTTTGATGGTCTGACAAGGCACCGCCTCATTGTAAACAAACCAAGGGGAAAAAGACCATCTCTTTTGGATAAACATGGGGTGGCCAGTTGGGACCAAGGACCAGTGCCGGTGTCAACATCTCTTCAATACAGTGGAATCATAAGTCAGTGACTAAAATGAAGTTAAGCGAACTCATTCGAAACATTTCATAGAGACACATTAAAAGAAACTAGTGCAAGCACGCAAAACGAAATGAACTGCTCCAAAATGACTTAGGTGCAAACAAATCCAACCAATCATGCAACATCATGAAACCAAATCAAATGAAACAGCAACTTGTCATTATTGCCAGTGTTGACATCTTTTTATCCAACCGACTGCAAACATCTGCAAACATTTTCTCCATGTGTTGCTGGGCTTTGGCGAAGCGAACGCAAACGTGTGACATGACCAACCTCAACATCCTAACGGTCCTAGTGGGCCTAGTTCTGGCAAGCTATGTAGGAACTGTGCATAGCAGTGCCTGCGCATCGTGACCTCAGGGACCAAACTTGGCGAAACGTTTCTGGAACTCCTCCTGGCACTCCGAATGCACTCGACCTGGCTCGTTCGATCCAAAGCCATGGAAAAACGCGATGGAGCATCGAAAAACCTTCGTAACGGGCCAAACAGTGAATCTAGGCTACAGCCAGCCTCTGTGAAACGCGTGAGGTGCGGTGCTGTGTGTGCTTGCACGAGTCCATGAGCTCTACTGAGAATCTACTGATTTGACTATATTTGACTGACGTCGGTCAAACGCGATGTCATCAAAGAAACACACACAAAAAATAAACATTTATGACAAAGCCTTCACAGCCACAGCAGGCGCAGGGCGCCACAGGCCACGAAAAAAGGAACGGTCGAACTTCAAAGGGTGGGAACTTCAAAACGAATTAACATGGAATACCTCACCCTCACAGGCTGCAGGCCAGCCGTTAGGCCGGCCAAACCATGTTTTCCATATCAAAGAGATCGAAGAACCTAACTTTCAACCTTCCAAGCCTGCCGGATGATCTCCCAGCTGTCCCTGAATGTACTCGAAGAACTGTCCTGCTCGGATTCTCGTGTTAGGTCGGGTGGGCGCCAGTTCCGGCGGATCCGGGACCAACCACCAAACCTTTAGAGCTTCCACCCCCTGGAGCATCACATGGTTTCATGATGTTTAATGGATTTTCAAGGCCTTTTCATAGCCTCCTGGAAGACCATTTTTTCCTCTACAAGCAGGATGACGTATTCATAATCCGCCGACCCCGGCCTATAGCCAAAGCCTAGGCGGGGAGGCGCCTGGGACACCGCAGGGTGAAGCAGTTGGCCAAGTCTTCAAACCCCTCGGCAGCAGGCCTGCCTCTTCTCTTCTAATCGCAGGCCTGCCTCTTCTCTTCTTATGGGCTTCCAAAAGCGACGTTTTGGCCTACTCCTGCACCGCAGCCTTGCCCTCTTCCTCTTCTCGGC